TTTTTTTTTTTTTTTTGTAGTTTCCCAGTCCCTCATAAATTGTAAGAACCATATTTCATTTGTATAGTATTGATTGTTTTCATAATCGTTGATGTTTTTTAATTCATCTTATTTGATTGAGTTTCTCACTGAGGTGGAACCTGCAGCTTTGAGGAATTTTAAATAAAGAGGAAATATGGAAACCTTTTGAGAATTCTTTATGTATCTTTTCATTTTATATACTTACCTACAAAGCGAGTAAGTCAGCGAAAGTCAGACGAAGTCACAAGAAACACATTTTTCCCAAAATTTCCTCTAATAGGTATTAACTCCTAAAGGCGAATAAAATTCCTTATTCATTGCTGCTTAAAAGGATAAATAAAATTATTAGCCCTTTGGTCGTCTGTTTTCCTTTCGCAGAGGACTTAAGTTTTTCTTGCATTATTTTAAGAAGAAAACAATCTTTTTTAAACTTTAATGAAGCTTAAGTATCCAAGTCAAGCTATGGTGGAGGACAAGCTGTTTAAATGTGCAGTACAACATTATGTTTGTTACGGGTTTTGCCACGCATGTTAAGTTGCGTATACTGAAACAGAGGGTTAAATTTAAACCAGCCCGATAAGACATCAAATTGCAATATATTGCACGGTTAAGATAGGGCTATGTCTTGTCGTAAGCAGCGACATAGAGTCGATGACATTTCAATAATCGCCCCGCAGGCTTGATTTAGTTGAAGTATTCTTCATTTCCAGAGAGGATGGAGAAGTTAAGTCGGAATTTTAAAATCATACGAGCGATTGCATGTACATCAGTTGCGGTCAAAGAATGATTGTTAAACATGAATTCAAGGTATGATAGAATAGAGGAGGGTTTATCCCCCTAAAGGCCACTGGCAGCTTATGCTCTTTGAACCTATTTCTCTTTTTCCATCTTGGAACAGTGTCAGCATTTCTAAATGTGTCATTTGTGTATGATGGAAAGTAAACAAAATGCAAAATAGAGATGTTGTTGTAGAAGCGCCTCGGCCAATTCTCTAATTTTTACTCAACACAATATATTGTCTTTTTTTATCACTAAGGACAGTAATCTTCCAGAAAGGCAAGCATACATTTTAAACACACTGTCACTTTCTTTATATTGCCTGCAAAATCTCATATTTTTGACAGTTAGTAATTTTTTTAACTTTTAAGTTGGTATACGAGGTGTCATTTCTCTTAATAAAGATTTAATTCGAGTTTAAAGTGAGTTCTTTTTTATTTCAAGTTAGAGCAAAACTACAAATCCAGCATATAAATTTTCAATTTCATACTTTCTATCATATTTCATTCAAATACTGACAGTATAGTGTAAAAAAGTGAAGTAAAAGTCCAAAAGTGTTTTCCCTCAAAAGAGTGTAAAGCTTCCCATTTCACTGTTGCAATTTTCAGCAAGACATGCATTAGATACGTGAAAGATTTGCCATGGATACCTGAAGGTAACTCCTTAAATCCTGTTGTTTATCTTCATCCCGAGTGCTTCAAAATTTTGTATACGGAAGGTATGACATTTCAAACCGCCTTAAAAGAATCCTTCTCCAAACCAACATTTTCTTTCCTAGATGCTCTTTAGGAGAGTAATCTCTCTCTTATGCAACCCTGTGAATTTCTGTTCATGTCAGTGGTAACTTTACCGATTTTACTGCACTTTTTAGTTCTGATCAATCTGAGATGGAGGGAAGTGACCCGAAAATTTAATAATATTACAGGGTGTCTAGCATCAGGATTTTCCCTGTTTTCCCGATTCTATCAGGAATAGAGGTCAATCAGGATTTAATCCTGATATCATCAGATCAGGATTTGAGAAAAGTTGGCCGTCCGGTCAGATTTTTTTACTGAGCTATTTTTGTGAAGTAACATTTGCCTAATTTTTCTCCTCAAAAATACAGGATTTGGAAAAATAATGAAATCAGGATTCAGCAGTAGAAAATCAGGATTTCCTTAAATGAAAAAAAAACTAGACTTCCTGTATCAGAACGGTGTGGAAGATAAAAATTTTCCCTTCAAGACAGGCCTTTCCAGAAAGAACTTTATTTGCTGGAAAACAAATGCACAGTGGGAAAAAAGTGTTAGTCATTAGGTAGGTATTAAATTTAGGAGAGTAAAACTCATGACTGATTCTGTACCTAAGTACAGTTTTAAAATTTTAACTCAAAGTAAAATCCTCTGCGGTAAACGATTTTTCTTCAAATAATGCGACCAAGTATTTCACACCATTTGAAATGTAGCCACTGGTCTTGGATATAAAATAAAATAATGAGTAGGTACCTAAGTAATCAGGTGCCTCAGGAGGATACCTCATGACATTCATGTTGTCATGTAACCAGGTCGCAGAGACAAGGCTAGGGTGCTCGAACTTAGCAAGTTGCGGGAGGCCTGAGAGTCCCTTTGGAACCCTCCAGGAAGTGGGAGAGGAGATCTGCAACACTGCAGTTCCCCTAAGAAACTTGCCGTAAGACGCAAGGGAGGAAAACAAAAGAGGGCTGCAGTGGAATGCAGTTTCTCTTTTTCCCGTTGTTTTGCATTTCCGAGGCACTCATCGGTCTCCCGGATTGGAGGACTGATGAGCGTGGGTGGTGATTGGGACCAATCAGAAGTGATTTGGCAAGAGTCACTCGGGCTTGGTCACCCTCAGGTCACCTGCCTAGGTGGGTTCAAGGGGGCTCTCACTCGGAAAACTATCGCGGACGCGGATTTGTAACGTTGAGAAATGTGAGTCCCTAATTAAGTTGGTCCTTTGGGCCAAATTCTCTCGTTTAGTTCCTTAGCATACAAAATGTTAGGTCGGGTACGGTAGTTAAGTTTGCGGTTTAGTGTTTTGTTATTTGCTCATGTTGCTATTTTCTTGTTCGGTTGTCATTATTATTTTGTATATATATTTATCTTTTTATTTATTCCTCTTGCCTTTTATCATTGTTTCGTGTGTATGCGCTAGCCGGCCGCAAGCGTGAAATATGGCATCAGTGCATGGAGGGGTCGCATAGCAACAGTATCTCCTCGTGCGCTGACTGGTCGCAGCGGTCGCATTCTTCAACATCAATCGGTGCTCCGCACATCAGCTCCTCCATCACCTCCACTACCAAGGACTTCCTCAGTTTTCATCTTTTACTGCCGGCATCTTTCTAAGTTAGTCTCATATATCAATTCTCTAAGTGCGTTTACTTCTTGTGCTGCGTTCAGCGAAGACGAGCATATATTCCATTTTCCGTTAGTGCGTGCGGTCGGGCTCGGGACATTGGAACCCTCCATTGAGTATGTAGTGATGTACTTACTCACGTGCACGTGGTGGAACATTTCATTTGCATTCCGTAACTCGTTGATTTTTGCGCGACTTGTCACGAAAATTGAAGATTCGCGTTAGTTCGATTGATCCTGATCATCCTAGGCTTCCCAACTCGGCTCTCAACTGAATCGTCAAGCGGTCTTCTCTCTGATGCCTTTGAAATTGGCCACAACATCGTTCCATTCTGATTTGGTTCTGGAATCAAGGTTTGAGATAATTTACCCACATACTTTTGACTTAATTCAATACCCCCTAGACTGACCATACCTAAACATTCGGAACTCATCTGTGAGTGTGTGAGTGCATCAGGTTGTGAGTTTTTACACAGGACCTTATGGGACGAGGTGAATAAGTGAAATTAAGAGCAACATGAGATGACTGGTGGCCTTAAGTGATCGTTTCTTGGAAGTTTAATATTCGTGGAACATATATACCAAAAATTTGCCACTGAATCACTTTCCTGGCAGAGAATTTAAAACATTCAAGTGGATAACCACATCCCCCTCCCCTCCTCTCCATTCCCTTGACGGATGCAGTCCCTATGTAGTATGTACTTCCACTATTTAAAATTTTTTTTTTCCACCCAGAAACAGATTCCGCCGCCGAAGTTAAATGCATTCAAGGCCTTCATACTTGCAGTTTAAGGGAAAAAATTCTTGCCCCGTCAAATTTTACTCTAAGGAGACAAAAATAGCTTTTTTCAGGTTTTCCCCATAAGAGCCGTGTAAAACGTTACAACCAGATGTATTTTAACCTCAAAGCAATGTTTAGGTATGGTCAGTCTAGGGGGTATTGACTATGATAGGTCCTCAAATCCTCAATGTTATGCTCCACTGTGTTTCAGCCATTATTTGACAATGTCAGCCTTGTTTCTTTGACACTAGATTCAAGCATGCCTGTCTGTCATGATCTTTATACTATCCACATGGAGGCCTTATTATTTATGAATCTCATTTGCCTGAGATGCCTTGAAACTACCAAAGGCTCTTTATTTCAGCAGGTAGACCTTTAGCAAGTGTCGTAAGCGCAGCTTCATAGCCAACACACTCTGTTTTATTTTGCACTCTCTTCCTAACTATAATTACTTTACTTTCAATTAAATGAGTGGGTGTTTTATACAAATTTTGTTACTCCTCCTGTTTACTTCACTGACAGCAGTGATGAGGCGGCTATTTGATTCTTTCACGTAAACTGTAAGAATGCTTGCAAGGATACTTACTGCAATTTTAGACTCATATCATTTAAAATGCACAGCAGCCATCCTTAATTCTAACTGTTTCATGATTTTATGGAGTTAGACTTATGAACACAGAAGCAGATTGTTTACATCAGGATCTTCACGTACGGTCCTTTGAAGACAGTGAGATACCTTAGACCTTGCATCATAAATTCGAACGGATGCTATCAGCAACCAACCTGCAATTACTATCTCATTGATTGATCCACCCCAAACTTGTTGGTTCATTGTAAGTAAGTTAATCAGTTGACAGAATGTATGTGAAAAATTGAAGATTTTACATTTGTATCTGAAGATTTGAAACCATTCTACTTTATGAGATTCATTTTTCATCTCTTGTTCCTGATGGAATTCTCAGCATCAGACTCGAGTAACCCATTCGCCCTCTTACTGATCTGTTTTTTCTTTGCAGGCATATGAATAACTTAGCCCCAGCTGTTGATACGTGGAGTTCAAAAATTCTCTTCCTCGGCTGTTTGGAAACTTAATTTCACCTGGCCGGCATTGGGATGCTTTCAGCAATTTATCCCAATAGGTTTTAAGAAACCTAAACTTCCCCTTGGTAAATTTCTCACTTGTCTTTTACATTTATCATACACCACCATGATCGGCCATATTTTCGTTTAACATTTCACTAAGTAATTTGTTCTCCTTTCAGGTTCATTAAAAGTAGTCACTTTAATTGTCATTGGAAGGCTTGCAACCTTTCTCAATGTGCCTTTAACTAGCACCCTCCTCAGCTCCTCCTTTATTCAAGATTTTGTAAAAACTTGGGAAAAACTAACTCGAGCAATGAGGAATAGATTTTATTTATTAGCCTGAGCCAATTTTGATTAAATCAGATATTATTGATTTTTTTCTATTACTTATTCTCTTATTGTAGATAAATGCGTTGCAAAGTTTGGAAGGTAAAAATACTACTTTTTTTTTTAAAACCAAATTTCAAATAGCCTATTGACTAATCCCACTCTTATTACCCAAGACCTAGATGACCATTGTCTGAGACCCTCAAACTCAGGTCACCTGGCTGGAAATCGAAGGTATAATCTCTTGGTATTGGGGCCAGCGCTATAACCACTACACCTTAGGAGGCTGATTGAGCTGGAAAATGTTTTGATCAGAGCCAGTTGAAACCACCCAAGACTTCATTGATTACATTGTCTTCATAACTCTTTTGAATATAAGCCTTTGAATGAAAGCATGCTGAATGCCATTTTTACTCACTCTCTTACCACACAAGTCAATTGGCAAGAATTTTAAAAAAAACCATTGCTGCACCTTCTGTAGCTCTGAGTCCTCCATTTGCAGTAGGACTTGAGTGTAGAATTCCTCCATACTCAGCCTCTAAATAAAACAATCAAAGTTGAATTCATCGCCAAAATGTATAGTATTTTTTTTTAAGATGCTCAAACATTGATGGAAACAACTCTATAGCTTGAAGATGACATTTAATACTAACTAGTGTACTGACTGTACACTATAGAGGGAGTCGGAAAGTGAAGTCCTGAAGTGTAGTAGAAAAGTACATTTAGTAAATGTAGTACATTTAAGAGAAATTTGCTTTGTTATCATTTCTTAATTCACTTTTATCCTCTGTTTAGGTATTGTGATCTAATTAAGGTCCCCTGGAATCCTCAACCTTGGAACCAAGGCAGGAGAATCTTAGAACAAGGGCTCTTGTGACTTACATTTATCAAGACGATCATCTAGTTGAATTTTTCAGCAAATTAAGGTATTTCAGTTTTTGTCTTAATTTTTATTTAAAGTTTCAGTGAGGAACAAAGGAGGTGGTGGTAGTTTCATTTGTTTACAACGTAACGTAAGTGGGCACAATGTGGCCTCAGTATTCTTGCAAAATCCGGAATTCAGAGAATGGAAATCGAATCGTGAAGACTGGTTTTTTTTTTTTTTTTTTTTTTTTTTTTTTTTTTTTTTTGTGCAATTCAGCAGGAAGTACAATTTTTAACACTTTGTGTGGTGTGTATGATTTCATTCCTCCAACCACATAATTTCGAAGGAAATCGATGGTGAGAACATCTGTACCCTCGCACATCATCGAATTCTTTCTAAAATGTGCATAATGCAAACAACTCCATTTTCCCTCCATGTCTAATCAATTTTGTAGACCTCATTAGTCCTAGGTACCCTCAATGTAAATTGGGAATACATGCTTTCAGTCTAATTAAATGTTTCCAATTACACCTCCATGACCAAAAGTCAACGCATGGAAAGGAATTATCAAGCTTTACTTAAATATTTTATATTAGATCTTCGCATAACCTTAATCCATATAAAGTTAAACAGATTTGTTATGTTGACTTCTAAAGTCATCATAGACAACATATGTGCCCGTTCAAGAAGTATGATGAATACTCAAGACAGACATTCCGTCTGCGGTGCCGGCACCTCTTGACCTTGCATCCGGCAGGTCATGCACGGTTGCAATCAAACATTTGAGAGTCCTGAAAAAGGGTTGTAAAAATGGAAAGTTTGCAGGAAAAGGTCTTGGAAACAGAAAAATTGGCTTGCTTGTGAGAGCCAATGCTGCTTGCACATGACAACTGCATGTTTTTATTGATATGTGGCAATTTGTAAATGTAAAGCGATAAAAAAAGAAGACAAAAAGTCATCACTCTATAAAAATTTGTTTGGGAGGTTTAAAATGGGAAGGCATAAGTGTTCCTGCATCGTTGTATCTTCCTATATTATGTAGCTGAGTTAGTCATGGTTTTATGAAAATTTTGACACAAAAATATGAATAATGCTGACCGAAATTAGGACTGTGAAAAGTTTGTAGTTGAAAGAGTATTTTGGGGAAAAAACTGACCAAAATTTCAACCTGTCCATTTTCAAGGATCAGAATTTTCAAATGAAAATGCCACTGTACGCCCTCAATGGACGAAAAAACAAACCAAACCAATCACATCTTATTCTTTGAGATAAGAAAGAGCTTTCATCGGGCAAATTGAATCTTCATTCACAAAGGTCCTTTTTCCCATGTTAAGGATCAGTAAAATATACTTGAGATCTTAACTTATGATGGTTATTTTATCTGTGTAAGACAGATTTTGTCAAGAATGAAGAAAGAGAAAAAATGTCATTATTTTTTTATTTGATATTGCATGAAAAACCTTTAGTTCTTAGAGTGTCATGTTTTATTTTATCAATGTTTATAGTTGCTATGGTGACTCTAATGGAAACCGGATCCGGAGAGAACGGGCTTAGCCTGTCGGTAGTAAACCAGTCAGACGATGATGACGATTGTATGTCGACAGGTGGCTCAGCCCACAGTTCTGACTTTAATGGTAGCACAACAGATATCATGGTTGCTGCAATGAATGATGATGTCACCGCCCAGTTAGCTGCTGCAGGTTGGCAAAAAGCAAACTTTAATGGTTGGTGTTCACAATGTTTTGTTTTCGTTTTTAACCTAACTTACCTTCTCCATCTCTCCTTCTCTCCAGCCAAACTGTTTGGTTCTCAGTTAAGAATTTTCAAATTATATCAAGTGTTGAATGATTCTAAATTATTGGCCAGTCCAATATTTACGCTTTTATCAGGGTTGAATATCCTCAATTGTAGAGAGCTAAAATGGAAAATTAAATTTATTACTGGAGTCAAAACTTTAGTATAAATAAATCTTATCAATATTATTTGGCTGTGATTTTTAGGTTAGGGATTCATGTTTTTTTGGATATTGGAAGTGTAATTGCACTATTCCAACTCCTACATCAAAGAATCACAATACTCTTTTTATCCTGCTCATAGTAAAATACTTACGTAATATTTTTATGGAAAGATGTCCAGCTCTCCTGAGTTGACAAAAAAATGACAAATTTTATCAAATATTTTATCCAAACCCCTAACTTCTCTAAAGAACTTGAGTTAATGGAAGGCCAACTTCTCAAGTCTGTTTTTAATATCAATGTACTAGTCAAATATGAGGAATATCTAACCACATACATTTTAATTGTAACTTCATGATCATCTCAAAAGTATCTCTATGTTCATAATGTCACTTCAAGGACATGAGTGACCGTCAACTTCTTTCCAGACTGGGTGAGGCTCCAGCAACCTTTCTTTTCCATCCAAAATTTTTTGTTTTATTATTTTATTCGAATGGTTTTTTTTTTATGATTTTGTCCAAAATCCAGTCTATCCATAATTTTTGTTTTGTATCAAGGTAATCACTTACACGCAACACCAACTATTATGCTTTAAATGTACTAATGTTGGATTGACTGTAGAATGCACTGGTTTGCAATTTTTTTTTTTTTTTCTTTTTTTTTTTATTTTTATTTTTTTTTAAATTTATATGATAAATGTTATTATTTTAAGTCTTTTTAAGTGAAGACGATCAAGGCTTGCTTTTTGTGCATTTTCAAGTTGAGAAATCAACTAGTGTTTTTTTTTGCATGGTTTGTGATTGTTTTCTATGTTAGCTGAAATTTTGCTCCTTAAAAGCTTTCTTAAACAGAGAATATCATCATTCAATCACTTAACCTTACTGCTTGACTTGTAAAGAATCCGTTTTGTTCCCATACATACATACATCTTAAATGTAGCTTATACATCAAAGCATGAAAAATCATTGCATTTCATCCCTGAATTTCAAATTGCAATACCCACTTATATCAGTGGTCAGTCTTCCATTCAGTTACAACTCTAACACTCTCTGCATTAGTCTATCAGCAGATGTGATCATTGTGGTCTATTTCCATTCATTTATGGCTTATCAAGAGAACTTGAATCATGCTTAGTTGAGACAACAAATTTATTCATTATCAAACACCAACTTCCTGACAATTATAAATTCTCCATCCGATAATAAAAAAAAAAAAAAAAACATGAATTTCCCTCTTCTCTTCTTTGAACAAGCTGTATCAAACATGTTTAAGAACTATTAAGAAGGCAGTATGACAGTAATGTCACCCCCAATTTTAGTGTGTTCCTGTGAAAACCTTTTGGAAAATTAATTTTTAATTTGTTTATTTTGCATTTCTCTGCTTTAAATTGATTTTTTATTTTATTATTTTTTTTCTGTAAATGCTAGATGGTACTTCTAACAATGCATTTCCTAATACAAGTTTGTGTCGGCATTGCCTGAGAATATTGATTTTTTTTTGGGGGTATCAACAATTTATTCTTTTATTTATTTATTTTTTTTTTTTTATGAATTTCTTAATTTTATAAACAAACAATGTAAATGTCTTTAAAGAAAGCATCAATGCTCCACCCAGATGTGGTAGCTAACCCCCTCCATCCTCAAAAGCTCACTATCCAACTTTAGCTTCAAAATTGAAAGAATTGCCTCTAAAAAGCATCAACTCATAACTCAAGAATATTCGTGTAACAGAAAACACAAGTGCCGCTAAATTTTAAATCATCAATCAGAAAATATGTCTAAATGTATCTGCTAGTGCTAATGACCACTCAGAGGTACCAGATTTCAGATTTCTGAAAAGATATCTACAAATTCAAGTCATGTCTCATGTCCTTTGCAAGGGAAAAAGTGTAATAAAAAATTGCCTTTTGTATCTAAAGCCAGACTTCCTTTTAAGGTAGAAGAAAAGTGCTTTTTCCTGTTCAGCTTTTACTAATCTAGCTGTGTTTTTAGGTCCAGTTGGCATGGCTGCAGCTGCTGCAATTATATCAGCCAAGAAACGAAAAAGGCCACACGCATTTGAGACAAATCCATCAATCAGGAAACGACAGCAGAACCGTCTATTGCGCAAACTCCGAGTATGTATTTTGTTTTATCCGCTTATCTCTTTAATTTGAATGGGAACATGTATAGAGGTCTGGAGCTGGAGTTTTTGCCCGAGTAGAATGAGTCAGTTAAGCTCGGAAGGGATTTGCCTGCAAATAGTCGGATCTTACAGTTTTCGGTACGAGAAGAACGATGCGCATGTTAAAATTTCACGGAAAATTGTCTCCGCGGAGATATAATGCTTCCTTTTTAGGGGTCCTCGAAAACGTGTTTGAACCGACTGCCTCAAATCTCCGCATCTCCGCATCATAAACGGGAAGATGGCGGCGACGAAACCAACCTGCTTACTACCGCCACACCGCCGTTGTTGACATCACAATTCCTTGTTTGAGGTTAAGTAAGTTCTGTGTGAATGTTTCATATCCTACATACACCTGTATCGCATTCTGATTGAAAAGCTTAGAGAATTAAGAACAATGGACATGAATCTCAAACAAAGTAACCGACATAACCTCCAATTGACCAACAAAAACATACCGCCAACGCAATGCCGCCGTGTATTCTTCCACTACGCATTCCGCCGCCATATTGATCATGACTTGTACATGCGGAACCTACGAGCGCGCAGTTCAAACGCCGTTTTAGGCCACCCTAATTTTTGGCACTTTCTAATAAACTTTTTTCCCGTTTGCAGTCATCAAAAAAATTTAGGAAAAAAACTGTAAGCTTCGGCCACTTACTACTTTCGAATGATACAATAAAAAAAAAATGACTTAACTGACTCATTTTATTTTCATTATAGAGTGTTTTAAAGGGGTCAGAAGAATTGAAACAAGGTAAAAGTAATATTCTTCCTCAGTCCAGTGATTCATTCCTATAAAACTAGTTCAGAAAGCGTATTTCTTCATTTACATGTTTTTCTTTGGGAACAAGATGAAATGAAATGATGAAGCTGTAGTCTTAGGAAATTGAACTCGGGCAGTAATTTACAATTCACTTCAATATGGTCGTACTTAATGTTGGAAATGATTTCCGTTTAAAATCCAGAATAAAATAAAAAAAAACTAATAACTTGAAGTGTTACAGCTTTCTAACTGAACACTCAAACACAAGACAACGACCAAAAAAAGAGAACTAACAGCGAGTGGGGACAAATAAACTGGCATGGTTGGGCTAGGGTTTGGTAGAGAGACGCACCATGACACACTAAGAACACTTGTTTTAGGTGAAGTTAAGGCCCACTGATTGCTGGGAGCTTCATTTAAGTCAATAGACAAATGAAGAAAAAAGGAATTACCCCGGCCAAAGGCGTAACTTTAACAGTTGGAACACAAAAACACTTCGGACTAACATTTTTTAATGGGAGCGATACGGAACACGGTTCTCTACACGAAGGACTCTAACTTAATGGCTGCCTTTCTCTCAGCAGCCGACCTCACTGCTGGTTCCAGTGGTTGATGAAAGTGATGTTGTGCAGCTGAGGAAAAGGCAGCAGGACTTTCAAAAATCTGTGACTCCTTTTCTAGTGTAAAAAAACAAACTTTTTTTTCTGGAAAGAGCATTTTTCTTGATAATTTAATTTATTTGTTTTTATCTCTCAAGTATCATATTGGCACTCACTACCTGTTCTCTTTTGACTATTGCATGATACTCAACTGTCATTCTACTTTTAAATCAATTTTTTTATAATTTCAGCAAACTATTGACGAATTTGCAACTCGCGTTGGGCAACAAGCTGTAGTTCTAGTAGCAACACCAGGAAAACCAACCACTAGTTTCAAATGTTTTGGTGCCAAACCACTAGAAGATGTTGTAAGTATCTCCAATCTATGATTTTAATTTTAAACCACAGCTATGGCTAAGCCAGATTCACATCTATATTTTTAAAACCGTTATGGAGTGCATGTAGCCATTGGTTTTTTACAAGTACGCTTTAATCATGAGAACATTTTATGAGCACTGAATCATTCAGTGTATCTCCAAACCAAAAAGTATTCTCCTTGCTGATGATGTTTTTCTAAACTCTGCCCTCTCAGGGGTATGGATAATCAATTTTTTTCCATCGAGCATGAAATAATCATGGACCCAATTCCTTGAGAATCGGCCACTCCAGATGGTCTGAACCAAAAAATAATTTCACATGTATTCTTTTCAAATTCCTCTATGAAGCCTATTTTGGCATCAGCTCTTTAACAACACCCAGCTGTCCTTTCTTCCCCGCCCCAGAAATTTTTGCAGCCTTAAGTATTGGTGCATTAATTCATCTTGTTTTCTATTTAGGTAAAAAATCTGCGATCAATGATCATGGATGAACTTGAAGCAGCGTTGGCACAGCAAGCACCTCCACCGGTCAAGGAAGATCCATCGTTATATGAATTACCTCCATTGATAATAGATGGCATACCAACACCTGTTGAAAAAATGACCCAAGCACAGTTACGAGCATTTATCCCTCTTATGTTGAAATACTCAACAGGTAATTACATTTCATCACTAAACTTCCGTTCAAGGCAGGGCCGGATTTACGTTTTTGGTGCCCTGAGCAGAAATTTTCGAGGCGCCCCCCTCGCCCCCGCCCGCGCATTTTCCAACCCGGCGGTCTTCTTTGGTTACTACGTGCTAACTCTAACTAAATACGAATTTTTCGAGTGAGTGAATGATTCTGGGGCAGAAACCAAAACCAGGTACCTGTTCCCGTTACTGTTAACTACGAAACTAAGAGAAAGTTTGACCCTTAAATTCTAGGGTCAGGTCATTTAAAAGATGGAACGCAATACAATCAATCAACAATCAGAGTTTCTGAACATTCTACGCAATTCTCAATTTTTTGCAGAGTTTGGAAAAAAAACCCAAAGTTTGGTGCGCCTCAAAATCTGGCGCCCTGTGCAGCTGCACCGATGCACCATAGGTAAATCCGTCCCTGGTTCAAGGAGTCATTCAACCCCTCTGTAGAGTCTTCTTTTGTCTTATCAAGTACATCCTCCTTTTATCTATAATTTTGGTGAACTAAAGTAAATTTTGAGCAATTTAGATGAATGAACAAATTTCAAAAGCTATGATATGAACAAGCCATGGAAAAGCTTTTAACATAACTTCGATTATCAGTCTCATTTCATAACTTTTCTCTTCCTCGCATGCATGACTAAAATGATTCAACATGAAAATGTTATCATCAGAATTTGAACTCTCTGGAAAAAAAATTCTATTTATTATTATATCCTTTTTTTATCACTGCGAAGTTCTATTCTCACTTTTTTTTTTTAAATACATTTTTCAGGAAGAGGTAAACCAGGTTGGGGCAGAGAATCAACAAGACCACCATGGTGGCCCAAGGAAGTACCATGGGCAAACGTCAGGATGGATGCACGACCGGAGGATGAAAAACAGAAGGTAAATTCATTAAAATTTTTGAAAGGGTGCAATGGGGCGAAATGGGCCCTCAAATGCATTTCCTGTTGCGTGTCACCTAGCAGAGCAAGTTACTGCAGCTTTCCTTTTCATCTATATTTTTGCTGCTGTGACATGCCATAGCAACTGATTGAAAAATCATCAAACCTAATCATGGGTTTATTGCTGCTGTAAAATTAAGACATGCTGTATGCTTAAACGCATCCATAAGTTACAAACTGCGAGTGTCACAGAATCGTTGGTGGCTCTAACTACCAAGGACAATTTTTCCGTAATGATTTTTGGTTCCTTACATATATCCTTCGACTACCACACAGTTGAAAATCGTGCAATTCTTGGCCGTGGAGCAACATACAACAAAAATTACAAGCAGAAATGTCCTCCAAGATATCCGCAAATTATGAAATGCATCCATCACAAGTCAGAGAGGTTAGAGTAAAAGCTTGAAATATGCAAAATCAAGAGATTTTTCTCATGTGTAAAAGTACTTCCTGGGTCTGGTATTATACGGTTCTGGCCGGATGCTCGGCAAATCATCCGGCGTCTAACCGGAGCCAGATAATAAAAATCGATATCGGTAACAAACAACGTGAAAAATCTACTTTGTAATCCTAGTTTAAAAGTTGGCAAAGGTTGTAAGGATCAAAGATTGGCACGTGGCGGTTAGGTGTGTCAGAGAGCACCGAGAAAGTCGCTGAGCACACAAGCGTTACAAGCAATTAGAGCTCTGAGGTTTTTGGCAAAGTTTTAAATATTATCTATCAAAACTATTAAATTCAATACCTGACAAGCATGGGCAAAAAAGTCTCTGCTTTTTTGGGACCTGGAGAAAAATTCTGTGGAATGCTTCTGGGAAGAATGTGGGAATCGGCTAGGCAAGTGCTTGCAAATTTGAGGTAATGAAGTTTTCTGCACCCTTGGACAAGGGAACTTTGTAATGGGTAATATTAATTGCCAGGTATCTTCACTGAAATGATAACCCTTTTTCAGTCTTTTTTATTACACATCAGTTTGAAATTACTAGGCCTCATATTGATATATTTCTTGTTCGCATCAATCCAAGTAGTATGCCAAAGCTTTTTTTGAGCCTTTTAGACTCATTTATGAACCTAAGTTTCCTTGAAAAAAAAAAAAAGAAAAATCATTTTCTGTTAGTTTTAAAGCCCACCTTCATTCCAATAATAAAATTCTTAAAAGCAGTTTTCATGATTTATTCAGGAATATTTAGATTCATCATTGTAAGTCTAACCGTCATTGTTCTACCTTCTTATATTACTATACATTTTTTTGTCTGATTTCCAGATTTCATGGACGCATGCTCTGAGACAAATAGTTTTAAATTGTTACAAATTCCATGGCAGAGAGGATTTGCTGCCAACGTTTACTGACGATGATGATGGGAAGACTTCACCATCGGTGGGCGTTTTGAAGTTCCACCACAACAACATTAAGGCCATCTCCAGTCCCCCTCAGCCCACCGCTCAACAGCAGGTTACCCCTCCCCTCAATCCTAATTCCTCGTGTCCTGTGTTGTTCGTTGTTGTCAGTTTCTGCCTGCATTTGTCCTATTTTTCTGTTGGGCACATGGTTAAGTGACGTAAGGTAGCTCTCTCAGGACAAAGAAGGTTACTACTATCGCAGCAGGGACTTAAAGGAAGCGACAGTAAAAATAGATTTACCATGGTCTTTTACATTTCATGAAATTTTCTCAACATGTACTAATGTGGAATACTGCTGTGCTAAGGAAGAACGCCGTACAATCATTCGAGAGTTGCCAAATTTCCCTTGATAAAATGTCCATTTTCGAAGAAAGTTATGGATATTTTTCCTTTCAGGACTTTTCAGTGGAATTGCAAACGAAATTATCTGGAAAATTGGAAGAAAAATATTCATAAGTTTACCAGGAAATTTAAGTCTTATCAAAGAAAATTTGGCAGCGCCTGAAGGTTCGTACAGTGTTCTTCCTTAGTACGGCAGAATAGTTTGGTCTCTCACCAGGGAACCAAATGAAATGACTCCACCATACATCTTCTGAGACCTAAAGTTTGCTTGCACTACAGTCTTAACTTTTCTATGCCTATTGCATTTGAACGTTGGCATCAAGAAGGTTATTCTATGATACTCAAGCATATCGCTAACTTAAGGGGGAATTTTCCTCTACTCTGTGATCAAATCATATTTTGCGTCAGTTTTAAGAAAATCAGTTTGTTACACATGTGTTTACAGTTGAGTCAAAATTTTGAACGTAACAAATTTGCCGTAATAATTTTGTCATAGGTTATTGTTTTTTCACATCAAGAAGGTTGGGAGCATACAAACGTGAATTTCTCTGGCTCAAAGCTTCATGCATTAGAATACTGAATACATAAAAACAGTCTGCCAAAAAAGGCTATGACAAATGACTACTGCAATTGGTTGATGTACAACACTTTGTTGCATCATTTTTACTGTCTGCACTAGCTTTTAGGGGCGGAACAAAGGAATAGAATTTGTGAATCAAGAGGTCGATGTTAGTTGTCAGATTATGCCTTCGATGAAAGTCATCGATCGTTAGTTTCAGAACCATGGTCAAAATATTTGATTAAACTTTATTGTGGTTCTTATCACAGTAATTATCTTGGAGAGTATCTTACTAGAAAGTAGCTCTCATCGAAAGAATGATGCCTTTTGATCAAAGTGCCCACTTTGCTCAAGGTGAAAAAAGGAGGATTAGATGCTGATTGAAAAAAACCAGAAATGAGAGTACATGTAGAATGTTAGCCATTTCCCCCCGGATATCAGTATCAGCATTTTTAGAGCTGACCTGGCAACTCTGCTTTTGATGGAATTCATTGTGTGTGCCTTACTCTATTTTTCTTCACTCTTCCTTCTAACCTAAGTTTTTCTTAATCAAGTTCAACTCGGCATTAGGAAGCATCGTGACAAAACTTTATCAGGATGGAAAGTTTCTGGCTAGGCCATTATTTCAATTTTGATGAAAATTCTTCACATATTACGAACTGAGAAAGGCATATGCCTGCAGCCCGATTGTTGAAATTTATGTCGGCGCAACAAGAATTGAAAATCGATATATTACACGGCGCAGACAGGGCTGAGTCTTGTCTTATTGTGCAGTCAAAGCCAGTTAAAGTTTCAACAATCCGGCTGCAGGCTAGTGACTTAGAATTCAATGCTGAGGATTTGTACAGTACATACTAATGAAAGTTTCCTAAGAAGTGGGGTATCTCTACATATCTTTTCAATCTCGTTTTATATAGTAATTAGGTGTTTGGTCTCACCCGCAATGAGCTTTATTCTATGGAATAACATTTTCCTCCTCTTGGAAGTTCCAAGAGTCATGGTCGCATTTGGATATCCTGTGACAAAATTGATTGCATTTTTGGTTTTCCATTTGGTCCAAGTTTTTTTCAGATTTTTGACAGCAAACTGAAGTCTATCGTATCCATATTGAACCTTGGTCTAGGTCCAAATTCTGTAACTGAGTTAAGTCTAGTTTCAAATTTTTGCAAAGCGAGAAATTTCATCGCTAATTTTTGAAGTCAATATTTGTTGTTTGATCGTTCCATAGTCCTCAAGTTCGTTTTAGGTTGGTTAATATGTATTTTGAAAGTCAGCTCTGCATCATACTAACTTTCAATTATAAAGAGCAGATTTCAGTAAGCTGGGTTTTAATTTATACATTGGATTTCTGTTATTTTGTTCCATTTGATGTTGTCATTATCATTTCAATTCTTTGAAATCTCATGAATGCAGTTTTATCGTTTTATTTGTTCTTATTTAATTTTGCTGTTTTATCCTCCCCACGTGCACTTAATAATCCTCCTCTTTTCCTATCCCCCATTCCCTTGAATTTTGTGAATATGAGCTAACAAATGAAGTCAGATTTTTGGGTCTGACTCAACAGCTGTTTGCTTATTCCCGATTATTATTTTTTAGCATGGCCTCTTGCATGTTGTTGTGTGTGGTCTTTTTTATTTTTTTTTATTCTGTTTAGTATTAAGCCCAGTCTTCCGTTTTTTCATTATTTTTCTCTCATGGTTAGATCTAAAGGAAGTCTAATGTAGCTGATTTCTGCCTGACCCCCTTCCTTTAAATGGCAGTAAGCAACTGTAAGAAAGAGAACAAATCTCCCTCAATGGATCTTAAAGAGTTTTGGTGGTTGTTGAGGGTCTTGGGTAGTTCAAAGTGCCACGATTTCCCCAATTTTTAAGCGCATTTGGCGCATGGCACCCAGGGAAGGCAGAACACTGCTTAATATTCAAGAGATAATTTAAAATAAATAAAATCACAACAGTCCTGATTGTCGCGCAAAAACCATTAAAACTAAGACTTTGAAGTAATACAGTGGTAACCTCTACATCACCTTCCCTTGTCTGTGGATTAGTCTTTTTCATGTCATCTTAATTTGTTCAGCATGCTCATTTTGATTTTGAAACATGGAGTTAAAAATTTATCTGAAACTTAAATCAATCAGAAATTTAATACTTTAATTCTCTACATTGATCAAATCACTGAACTAGAATCAGCAAATCCCCAACAGTTAAGTTGTTTCGTATTGTTCCTAAGTTATTTTAGTTGGTCTCTTCAATTTTTCTTAGTTCTAAAATGGACATTTTTTCACAAGTTTAACTAAATAAAGTGCCATGCAGTATGTTAAAATGGCATTTGAAAAAGAAAGAAGAAAAAAAAAAAAATCCTGAAGAATGTTTTTCAATGAAGGTATTTGATTTATAAGATAAATTTTTGAAGTTGTGCTTAGAGAAGAGTTCCTTGATGAATGCCTCAAGTTCTCATGATAGAATTAAATGATTATTTTATGACAATTTTGGACTCAAAATGCAACACTTTATTTTTCCCTTGGGGCTTTTTAGATTCTTGAGATTTGCAACTTAGCACTTACTACGTCTCAAATAATTTTTTTTCCAACTCATAATCATTGTGTGACTTCGATTCCCAATCAGATCAACTAAATTCCAAGTCAACGCAAACGAATGTTTGTAAGTAGTTGAGTTTAACTAATAAAGTAAATTAAAGTTAAGGTAGCAATACTTTCCTTCGAATTATCTCTCTCTCTAACTGAATGCCCTTTGTGGCAGGTACACCAGTATCAGCAAGCTGTTCTCCAAACGATTAGTAATCCAGATGGAACTGTGTCAATAATCCAAGTAGATCCAAATAATCCCATTATTACATTACCGGACGGAACAACTGCGCATGTCCAAGGTGTAGCTACGGTGAGTACATTTTTCAATGTTATTCCACTTTTAATTTTTTATCGTAGTGCATCAATAAATTCACGTTTGATTTCAGTAAATCTAAATGATTAATCTGTCGAAATGTGAAGTTTCAATGGGTCTGTTACATGCAAGAGATTCAGCCCAATCAGGGCTGGGAACCCGAATGGATTTTGGAACCGGTTCCGGTTCCGGTTCTCATGGTCCAATGATTCGGGTTCCGGTTCCGGTTCCGGGGGTCCGAAGATTCGGGTCCCGGTTCCGGAACCGGTTCCGGAACCGGTTCCACTCGGGTTCCATGGTATTAGTATTCGCGAAAATAATTTAATTTTAAAGTAAATTACTCAAAATGAGAGAGAGTTCAAAACTGGGCAATTTTAATGAAGCAATCAAAAATGATTAATTTAGAAACAATAATTTTAGAAACAAACACCGCCTTTACCATATTGGATCCATTGTCAGTCGTCATGCAAAATATTTGACTAATATTTATCGAGTACGTCTTTAAAGTTTTCAACAATACAGAAATAATGTACACACCTGTGTGTCGTTCGGCTAAATCAAACACTGCCAAAGTTCTGATGTACAAATGTCCATCGTCTGCGATAAATTGGGCGTTGATCCCGAGGACGCTCCTACCTCTTTTTGTGCATATGTCAAGTTTTAATGAAAACATTTTCCCGCGCAATTCTCCGCTGATTTTCTTTCTCTGTGCATCTGCTTTCTCAATCACTTTCATTCTTATGTTTTGCCGATTGATTTTGGCTGTTGTCTTCAATCCCTCTAATATAGGATCTATGATACTATGGAATGCTGCATCGTCCATCAAAACCAAAGGACGTCCATTTATAATTAGGTTTATGCAGGCATTTTCGATAGTCTCCGGGGCCGTCTCAAACCCGGCGTTGCTGCAACATCAGCTGTCACGGAACCGATACGGAACCCGTGTAGGAACCCTGTTCTCGGATTGTGCCCCGGCGGTTCCGGTTCCGGTTCCGGTTCTGAAGGTCCGAAGTTTCGGGTTCGGGTTCCGGTTCCGGTTCCGCATAAACATGCGGGTTCTGAGGGTTCCGGGTTCCGATCGGGTTCCCAGCCCTGAGCCCAATAAATATCCTCTTTACGAGAAAAATTGCCTAAAAATTTGGGCACATCAGAAATGTCTAAAATCCACTCCTTAGTGCACAATCTGCGTAGTTTATAACATGCTTCTTCAAGTTTCCGCGTCTGAAGGCACTTTTTCTCAGTCTCCGCCGACCAGGTTTGCACAGGCAGAGGGGTAAGAGTAAAGTAACCTGAGTAAACAAATGGTTTCCCCAAATTTTACTAGTTTTCAAGCGTTTTTTTCTCTTTATTTTGCAAAAGCCAAAGCTTTGAATTGATTGAAATCTTACACAAGGAGAGGTTATAACAGTTCCCCAGATTGTTTGTTTATTTAGGCTAGGCCTCTCTTCGGGCAAACCTGACTGCCGACCACAAAGAAAAACTATTTACATACGCGGTAAATTTGAAAAAGCATGTCACAAACTACGCAGATACTCGCTAAGGAGTAGTTTCAGACTTATTTGATGTGCCTAATGTTATTTTCGAGCGAATTTACCCCTTAAAGAGTATTCAGTTGACTGTATCTCTTGCGTTCGACAGACCCATTACATCTTTGTTTGAACTTCTGCAAGGTCCAGGAGTGCTGATTCCTCTACGTCCAACCATCTATGGATCATCAGTGATGAACCGTAGGCTTGATAAATCAATGTAGGCTATAGAGAAGTGGCCTTAATTTTGAACTTTTCCAAAACGGAAGTGTGACATGCATACAGTCGTTGCGTTTTGGTGAAGAAGAGCAAGGAAATAAGATTTAAAAAAAAAAAAATAAAATGTTAGTACTGACGTTGCTCCTTTAACCACCCATGCTCTCAGGACAAGACGTCTTGCCATGACTCCTCATTTCAAGTTCTAATTTGAGTTGCCAGAGCGCTGCTTTGACACCATTGAATGACTTATATGCGAGCTCTAATGTTCTATTCCATTCTGCAGAAGGAAACTCAACTTTTTTGCAATTTTTGACGGTGTGCAAAGTAAAAGTTTGATAATTTAAGATGGACCCAGGACTGAATCACTGTAAAAATTGTGAAATCTCCTGGTTTTAGGAGGCTGAGGTTGCGTTGCTGGAGCAAAAATTCCAAGTAGTTTTAAACTTCTTAATTTCGGAAGCATGTTTCTTGCTTAAATTCCTAGTAAAAACTCCTATTTTCAAAGCAATCCCTGAATCTTGCAACTGCATTTTGCTGGATTCTATCATTGCTTTCAGAAGACATGAAGTGTGTAGCAATACAACTTGGTGGCAGATTTTGTCCCTAGGCTCCTTAATGCGTATTTGCGTTGATGATCGGTTGAACCAAAATGGGTGGATCAAGCGGTTTTGTATTTTGTTTCAACGCTATCATAATATCTCAGAACAACATTGGGACCCATCAGACGGTTAAAAGGTGAAATTCTTGCAAACGTTAGAGCCAAAATATAATCCTACAAAAAGTAGGGTTTAGAAATGACTTGACAAAGATGATGGCATCCGACCAGCATCAATTCCAAAAGTCTAACCTCAAATGTTTTCCAACCTGATATGATCTCGGCGCCATTATCGCGACATTTTGGCTCGACCATCAACGAAAATACGCTATATTATTACCCTGTGTTATGCAAAAGCTGTGTAAAAAAATAGAAAACATTTCTTCAGAATTTACTTAGTTTACGAAAAGAATAAATTTTCTGTTTCATTTTATTTCAGATACATACAGGACAAGGTGAAGGGCAATCAGTGCACACAGTGCAAGCTCTAGCAGAAGTAGGAGGAGGACAGGGTGAAGGTGTATCAGTAGACTTAAATAATGTAACGGAAGCAACATTGAATCAGGATGGACAGTTGATCCTTACTGGTGAAGATGGTCAAGGTTACCCTGTTTCAGTCTCGGGTATGATCACAGTGCCTGTCTCTGCCTCAATGTACCAAACAGTTGTAGCGAATATTCAACAAATTCAAGGTAGCGACGGAACAATGCAGGTCAGTACCTTTGATTTTTTTGTAATGTCAATTTTCATGCGTTATGCAACATTAAGGACCTTAAATTAGATAGCATCCACTGGACTTATGCAAAGGCTATTCATAAATTAGAAAGAATTATGTTCTAATCTCCAAACTAAGCTAGTCAGAAATTTTTTCCAAGTCTTGTTTGAAGAACAGAAATTAGTTTTCTAATGAAACCAAAATAAGCTTCTTAGACTGCAAAGGAAAAGGTTATCAAGGTGCAAAAAGCGAGAGTCGCGTTTACCCCCACAGGTTTTTATGAAGATTTTTGCTCATCAAAATTTCTATAAAGTTACTGGTTGCTTGACTTAACCCATTCGCCTCATTTGACGAGTATACTCGTCAGCGCGCGTGCGGGACATATCTCAGTTGACGAGTTAATTCACGGCATCTATCGGTGTTGCTATGCGATTTTTTTGCCAGTGGTTTTTCAATTTTCCGATAGATGGCATCTCAAGCATCGGAATGCCGAAAATGGCGAGTACCAACTCGTCAGCTGAGATGATGTCCTAGGCGCCCGCTGATGAGTAAACTCGTCATGTGAGGCGAATGGGTTAAAACATAAATGGAAAACAAGGTAGAAGAAACGGTCTTATGCACTCCTGTGGTGCATGACATCATTCACTGTTTTTTTCGATATAGAAATTTGATGTTGAACTGATCATATTATTTTTACTAATCTATTAGTTTAAATAATCAAAACACCATTCTGTGACCGGTGCAACTGGCCCACTGCTGCATCTCTTGTTTCAAAAATTTTTAATGTGACCTTTTTTTACAGGTCGTAACACCTATGGTACATGTTCCAAAAATAGAGCCAGGCACTGGCAATAGTAGTAATGGGAACAATGAAGTCGAAACAATAACTGTTACCCCCCACCAACTAGTCACAATGAATAACAATGGAGAACCTCAGGTGCTGCAGGTGCTATCGCTGAAAGATGCAACTGCCCTCTCCAAAGCGCTCTCAACAGGTGTTGTCACGAGCACCCACGATACCTCAAATGACGAGTCACAAACGATAACGTCGGATCCATAGTACACTCTGTGAGGTGAGCTTTAGTTGTACCTGTTCAATTATTGATGAAGATCACCTAGAATCCGCTAATGCTATTTGCACATGTTACCATATCCAACCTGTTAATGTCGTTTAAAAACTTTAAGCACAGGAAACAACGCTCTTCGCAGTTTTCTTTTCAAAAAACAGGGCACTCCACAAATTTCTGAAGAAGCAGCATACCTGTTGGATTCGCTTGATCGAGAAGTTTCTCTTTTGGACAATCTTTAGTTGACAAATGCCACAGCATCAGTTTGTCTAGATGTTGAATTTATCATTGTGCCTCTTATAAAACAGGGTTGCTACAGTCAGGGATCACCTGGAAATGTCAGGGTTAAATCACCTTTATTTGCTCTCCAGAATGGGTTAAAGGTTTCAAACAACAAATTTGCTTGAAAGCTATTTTCAATTGTGTCTTCTTAACCACCTGTCTTATATTCAATTGTCAGGGAATTTCATCAAAATTTGACCAGGAAATGTCAGGAAATTTCATTTTCTCAATTCTGTGGTAACCCTTATAAAAGGATGAAAAGACCTAAACAAAATCTAAAAATCAGCCAATTTTGTCGTCTCTGCTGTAAAATAAACCCGTTTTTGCAGGCCAATTATTGAAACTGTCAATGTGATGAGACAAGACAAAGCCTTATCTCAATTGCATTAAATAGGCATTTTGATGTCTTGTCATGCTAACGTCAATTTGCATAATTGGCTTGTTGGTGTCATTGCATTCCACAGAGTCTGCCAAACTTCCTAATTCGAATGAGTAATTTTAATTGTCAGACTTTGAAGATCTCTGCACACATTCAGCTGAAGGTTAGCTATCCACACTTGACCAGTGGACCTGTGCACTGACTTCTGCCAAGCATCTTGCAACCCTTGTATGCCTGCTCCAAAGCTTCTCTGAGATCAAACTGATATTGTTTGATTGCCCTCTTTCATCTCTACAAAAAATTTCGAATATCAAAAAATGAACTACAAAAATTAGAGAATAATGAAGAAAATTTTCAGACTTTGACATCTTTAGAACTGATGGATCAAATTTGACCACAATTTTCCCAAAAAATCTAGCTTTTCAGGAGAAAATTCAATGCTACTCAAAATCCGTGCTTCATGGAGAAAAACGAAGGCCTTTTTTAGATTCTACAACCACAAATACAGAGGAAATCACTTAGCACATGCCTAAGAGATTTTTACCTATGCTTCTAATTACAATATTTTTCCTGTCAATTGCCATCTCCTGCCCACGTACTTTGAATTTTCCCTTAAGTAGCTCCGTTTTGGGGGGAAATTTTGATTTTTGCTGACCAAGTCCATCTGTGCCAAAGAAGTTGATGTCATCTTCAGAGTCAGCGCTAAAAATCTACATTGAGTCAGTTTCAAACTTTATGGCAAGTCTAATAAGAAAACTTTTACTGATCAGTATTATACATCAGCAATACTCATCAGTTGTATTATTTCTTTGCTTCTAACATTTTGCTTTCTCCTTTTTCCAGGGTCACTCCTTGCATCTCATTTGTTCACCTCAATGAAACCAAATATCACTAAGGATGTAAATATAAAGCCACCTGTAAATACTGTAAGCTAACTTTACATCTGAATTTAGTCCATACTTTTTTAAGTTCCTTTTGTTATGGCTGCATGAAACCCATTTGTATTCTCACGATGATCGTTACAGATCTCATCTGTGTTGCAGAATCAAATCAATACATGTGAACTCTACTAACTCAAACCAACCCTGATTTGTTTCATACTAACCTGCATGGTTTTTAGAATTTCTTTTGCTTTCAAAATGGCACTAAATTTGTTTAATTTGTAAGAGGATTCTCCTTTAGTCCCTCAGGTTGGTAAACCATGTAACTTTAATGTCTTTATTTGATAGATCCAATGATAAAAAGACCTTACCAAAAATTTTACACCTCTAGTAATTCTTCTGTTCAAGTGTTTGTGAAATGAAAACATTGGGTTTACTTTGAGTTTTTGGGTTTAGTCCTGTATTTTAATCTCATTACACAGCCATTTTTGTGCCATCGTTAACTCTGTCGTATCAGTTTCTTTCCTGTTAATTTCTATTAGTCTTTTTGTCCGAGCGCGTGTAAAAATTTAAATGCAAGTTTCGTAAGTTACCATGCCTAGTTTGTCTTTTTTTTTTTTGAAGTATTGTATTTTTGTACAATAACTTATGACACTTTCTGAGCGCTCCATGGAAAGGCTTGTGGACTCAAATTGTTTGAGACTGATGCATAATCTGTGACTGAAAGTAGTAATGATTTCCCAGAGTCTGATAACTGATGAATTTTTGAGTGAAAAATCTATCGTAAGACTGATGTGCAGTTGAGGGAATTTCACAAAGGGAAACCATGTGTTACCAAATAAGATGTTTTTGAGGGTTGAAATAATCAATGTTACCCTACGTTCCTTGAGAGGCATGAAAATTAGTTATCAGTAAACTGACTATCAGCTAATCAAGGATTTTGCTGTAGTTGATCAGTTTGTTATTTTTGCAGCACATAAAAACCTGTGCTCCTGAGAATTATAAGGATGATAGATAATCTTGTGAAGTGAAATAATTTTGTTGTCTTGTAAAATCCCTGTACGAATCTGTCATGTATTTATAAGCCATTCATTCATTTTATAATTCAGCTACAAGTAATATATTAACCCTCTGAAATATTTTTTTGCTCCAGAACAATGTTCAAGTACCCCTAATCCTCTTCTTTTTTGATTATTTGTCTAATTTTTGGTAACTTGTAGGCCTGTCTTTAAAATAATTTTTCTTTTAAAAATCTCACCTAAATTGCAAAGCTACAAAAACTTAGGAGACACCAGGCCAGACTTTGCATCAGCTAAAAGTCCGTAGCACCATCATCAGTAACTGCTTGCATTGTCTTTGTCTTCCTTGTAATTTTATCTACTTCTCTATCTGCCTTGCGCCCCCCCCCCTCCTTGTCTATTGAATTTTTCATTGAAAGGGTTTTATTGCAATCTTCTTGCGTCATCTTTTTATTCTCAATCATGACGAAGAGGTTATAGAAACACTGTCAAATCTGAAAGTGAGCAAAAATTTACAGAGAAAACCTGGATTATTTTCATTGGTGGCTTCGTACAAATTGATGTTTTTAAGTTTTGACAAAATAATTTGCTTGTTAGGATTTTATTTTTTTTCTCCACAGATCAGGTTTTTAAAACTTTACAGTCATTCTGGTGTTGTGAAATATGAACAGCTCCATCAGTTTCAGACTTATTCAGATCTCAATTTCGAATATGTATTATTTTTAAGGTTTGATTCTAAGTAAGTCTCTTGGTTTCTGTTGCACTGTCTATCTTCCGTATTTATTTCATATTTTTTTATCTTTGTAGGAGCTCCATTTTTTTCCCTTACGTTTGTCGTTCTAATACAAGACTCATTAGTTTGTAAGAAGAGACAAGTTAATCAAGAATTTTATGAACTTCCGTTCATTCTCATCTAAGATAAGTGATTGACTCTTATAAAAATCTTTTAGAATCTATTATGGTTAGTGTGCATTGCTTTTCTTGAGTAAGTTAGATTTATCAAGGATTCATGATCAATTTTTCATGCCTACTAGATTAATGGCGATGTGCATGAAGAGATATGAACTAAAAGTTTTTAAATTACTAGTCTCTCAACATTGGCAACTTATTCAATGGATATCGAATTCCATAGCTTCTCATGCATCTCTTGTAGTTTCCTCTTTTTTTTAAAAGATCGGTTTCAAATTCCATAGCAAAAATGGTCTGGGAAGACTGACATCTAACTGTCTTCATAGCTGTTGGTAATTTTAATCGATTTGTTTAGATTCTCAGACTTTCAGAAGTGTTTTGATTAGATCAAAATCAAAGTTATCCTAGGAACATCAAACTCAAGTACCATAATGATCGAAGGATCCTTCAATTACCGTTCTAAAAAATTGTTCAGTTAATACAAGCTCCTCTAAGTTTCCAGCATAGCTTAATCATTTTACAATCATTGCTTCCTTGAATGTAAAATCTTTAAGTAAATTTTTGTTGTGATGAAACTTGTGTAAGGACCTATTTCCTTTCTAAACTTGGGCTTTTTCTCCAATATGTTTATACATATTATGTTGTCACATCATTTGAATGAACGGAATTTCATTTTAGGAGAAACTCCTTCACATTAATAGACTGATATAGTGGCTACATCCTAGTTTTTTGTTGCAGTTTCAAAGTCTCAAAGAGAAACAGACCCATAACCTTATCATATTTGTCTCAAGGTGGTTAAATGTGTTACGGTGTTTCTTGCAGTCAAAATTTCTTGTCTTTAGTGAGGCATTAACTGATTTATGACTCGCTACTGACAAAATTGTAATGAATCACAAATTAATTCATACAGAATTTGGACCTTAGGTTATGTTCTATTGTTTTGGTTTGAACGATTTAAATCAATTATGTAATATGTTGGAAATTGACATGTCAAATATTGGAAAAACGATTTACCTACTATATCAGTCTCATCAGACCAGTTTTGAGTGTAACTGAGCTAAGTATAAGTCAACTCAATGGTATGGAATAATTGTTTAGTTTTTGTTTCTCTTTGTTTGACTTCTCTCTCCTTTTTCATTCTAAATGTTCGTAGATTCATAATTTATTTGTTTTCTATTAATGTATGCATTATTTCTGTGTTATTATTTGTTGTTTGCTAATAATAATTTTTTGTTATATGTTATTTTTTATTTTTTATTTGACAGTTTGATTGCACTCCTAGTTTAATAGGTTGCTCGACGTAAAAAAAAAGTCATCTTATTACCTTCAATGATTTCAATAATAAAACATTTTTCTCCTCCGGATTTTCAACGTTTACACTTTCATTTAATCCATCGGTTTTTTATGAAGTATTGATTTTCCTGGAAAAATTTCTGTAGGATAATTTTAATTATTTTTGAATCTGAATGCTGTCTGTGTGAATTAGACTGTCCTGAAGCACAAGTTGAATAATATTTTATCGCCTTTGATCTTTTCAACTGAAAGATTTTGGTATAATCAAATTAGGTCCTTGCTGATTTTCTTTGTATCAGGTGAATCATGTTGCCCAACTTTTACGGACAGTTTCTTTCAAAAGGATCATTTTAGACAGAAAATTAAAAGGGTTTGAGATATTGACACTGTCTAATGTTTTTTTTTTTTTAATTGAATGTATCAGTATTCGATTCTTTCATATGTTATTCTTTAGCTAAAAGACACGAATGCAAGGGCATGCAAATATCTATTTTTTGACCCTCAACAATCTTATTTTTTATCTCTAATGGGAAAAAAATACTAAATGTTTACAATGAAAAAAATAAAAGAATATTCCCTTTACATCTAATTAAGGTTTAACTTTGAATTAATAAGAACTAATTGTCAAAGTTGATGACCCTCTTTGCTTGTCCCTTTTTTGTTCATGAATTGATACACAGGAGCACTTGATTACATAAGCACATCTCTGTATTTGAATAAATTTTGACAGGAGCTCTTCAAATATTAAAATGACTGAATGAATAAAAACAAAAAAGAACTGAAAAGAAAAGAAGAATGAAATTATTCTCATAAAAATGAAAGATGAAATGCATGGAAACATTAATCAGCTTCACTTTCTGTTCCTGTTTTGCAAATTGCCTATGGAACTAAAACTCCGGAGTGTCAATCTTTGTGTGTTGTTGGAGGTCTGATTTTAACTTAACTGTTATCATTGCTAGTAGTATTATTTACCTTTTAAAGGCTTTCGTAAGTGGAAAGTTCCTTTAGTTAGTTTTTCTCCCTTATGAATGTATAAAATCCTTAACAAAATCCAATAGCAGTTTGGCGAAAACCTAAATCTCCACCTTTTTTTGGCAAGTTTATGAAGTCATATCATCATTTTATTTCTCTTACTCGTTCGTTTATTTTTTGCAACTGCCCTGAGAGACCCAACAAACTAAAAAATTTTCGGTGAGGACCATAATTTAAATGCCTGAACTGTGTATCTTTTATATATCAATGCATAACCATATTTCCCTAGACTCGGGCATACTCTTGTGAAAGCCTCTTGCTGCAGAACTGGCCAATGTCATAACTCTCAGGAATGTGAAAGCTTTAAGTCCTACTAAATTTTGCAATTGTATGTAAGAATTGCTCTCCCTGAGATAGGTCATAGATGCAAGTGCGGGTAGAATCTTTGAGTCACTTAGCTTTGCAAGTATTAATGCCAAAGAATATGATTATCTTATGTTGCTTTAGTCTTTGTGAACAAAATTCTCTTACTCTCTAAAATTTCTCTCAAGTTGCTTAATGAATGTACCAAATACTTTCTATCAATTTAATTCTCATTTGGACTGCGTTGAGCAGAAAGGAACCAAGCCACAGCAGCTTTTGCCAAATTTAACGGAACAATTTAATTTTTTACAAGAGAACATTAGTGCAGATTCCTTTGCAAATTTCGAGGAATATGCTTCTTACTGTACAGAAAATTCACTGAAATTTGCACAAGAATCTGCACAACTGTTGCTATGCAAAACATTAATGGCCCAATTAAATTTGGCATTACCTGGTGTGGCTTGGTTCCTTTCTGCTCAAGGCGGTCTATTTTTCTCTCAGCAAGGGGTCTGCCTTTGTATCGATTCAAGTCCTTCAATGCCACAAGCTCACCTTAAGGTTCAGTCCTAAACCTTGATGTGTAATTTTAAAACTGAGAATATTTTTCCTGAGAAGAGAGATCCTATTATGTAATTTTTCATAAGACTAATATTTGTAATTCATGTAATTTCAAATAGAAGCTGGTATCAAAACCATTGAATAAAAAGTATACGAAATATTCGATAATACCAGGAAGAGCCCTTTCTAGCCATCTCAAACTTTATCCAATCATAAAAAGGTAAATAAATGCACTGTAATTTTACACCGTCCAGCCTTTACTGTCAACAAATTCTTATTTTTGAGGGGAAATTAAGTATCACAAGGATTTTCTTTTTTTTGTAATTGTATATTTTTCTTTTTTGGTTAGAAAAGGTGCTGAATATGAGAAACTTGACTGTACTATTTTTGTATATGCATTTTTGACCAAAAGAATATTATCTACTTTTTGGTACTAGTCTTGAGTCCCAAAAAAATGTAGGTTTGGTTGCCGAAGCTTATGCTGGAATGTAGTTAAGATTCTTTTGCTGGATGCTGCTCATGTCATTCGATTGATAATTAATCTTTAAATTTAAGGGTAATAACTGCTAGGAAAGAACATCTTGTCCTTCAGTTTATCGAAAGAATGAGGTATTGAAAAAGAATGTTAATGAGTATTAATTTCGCTATGATGAACAGATTTTCATAATGCAGCTCTTTCTGTTTCCAGTGCATCTCATTGATAAGAGAAATAGTTAGAAGGGTTAAGAGTCAAAATTAGTCAATCAAAGTTTATTTATGTTTTTTTTTTTGCCGCTTCATTTTCTATGTACGAGACGGCAATATTCTCGAATAGGGATGGAGTTCAATGATGAGTAATCGTCATCTGTGTAAAAAATTATGGGAGTTATCATTAACTTTTACTCTCACCAACCAAGAGCTCTTTCCTTTTTTTGTACACTGACTTTAAATTAATTCTTGTGTTCCATAATATATTGATAGGTAGTGTCCAATTATTTTTGTATTGAGGTATTCTTTGTAAAATGAACAGTTACTCCAAGGTGGAGAAAAGTAAATCCTATACCATAAATTTACTGTACAATTGAACTGTTAATTAGTAACTATTATCTACGATGTATATATACTTACAAGGTACCTATTTAATTTTAGCTAAATTGCTAGTCATAATTTTTATTTTAATACGATGTGAAGGATGTATCTGTCCATGACTGTTACATTAGTGCCACTACAAAATGAGACTTAGTGTTTCTTGCTTGAAACAAGGAAAAATACATCTTGAACAAAGATCTTGTTCGGGGCGTAACCTTTTTTTCTGAGTAGACAAAAGTATCCTCACCTCATTAAAGCAACCCTGATTTTTTTTTTGGTTACCTTCTCACCTAGCTGTCAAGAAATTGATAACTCTGGAGTTTCATCAGTAAATTTATTTTAGTCATCAAGTTTTTTGTCACTGTGCATGATAGAATTAATCTTCTTAGTTATTCATGTGAGAGTTAAGTTTGGATTCACATCACGATCATCATTAATGAGAATTATCGCCATTCACATTACGTGTATTGAATCATTGCAGTAACTCTTGTTAATTCACCAGAATTTTCTAGTCTTTGTTCTTTGGTTGTATTTTTCCCCAAATATGTATTTCCATGTAAAGGAAACTGATCGAGCTTTGCAGCTTTCAACATTGCTGTGAAAAATAATGCTACAATTTCCCTTGATCTTTCATTGACCAATAAAAAGTTTCTGATTTGATGAGACAAAATTTCTGAACAAGTTTACGAAACCATCTTATTCCCCCACTTAAGCTCCAGCCAAATTCCTGTATCACATGATGTCTCTTTAATTTTAAACTTTATCCAAATTATTCAGAAAAATGAATAACATGCAGTTTGCAAGAAAAAAAAAAAAAGAGTCAAATTCTCCGTAGATCCTATGTAAAATGATTGAAGTTGCTCAGGGACCGTATTATTAATGCTGAATAAGTTTGTAAATTTTTCTCTCTCTTTTTTTCCTTTAGCAACATCCTGGTAGGTACTTAACTTTTTAATGTCTTTAAATCTTCAGCCAAATATGTATATTGTAAAGTAAAATTTTGTTTGTTAAATTTTGCTTTGTTTGAACACTAGTTTTCTCATCTTGGATTTGTGCAATTGTCAAAAACTGTTAAGTTTTCTCAACGTTTCCTTTTATAATTTTCTTTTATTCTTGCGATCCAGTGATATATAGTTCATTTGGAAAATTTTCAGTGTTAAATTAAGTTATTGCATATATCTCTGTATGTGTGTTTGCTATAGTGATATCATTTTACTCACTTTTAATTTGAAATAAAAGTGTTGGAAAGTGAAGAAATTTACTAAGGTTGTTCTTATTATGCATTTTCATTACTACTGTAGCGAATTGTTATCCAACAACCGTGAGGGATATTCATCTCCATTATAGCAATGCCATATATCAATTGTGGTCATCGAGTAATGATGTAAAAATTGATCTGTAGGTTTCTTCAGAAATTATACAAACGCATGTTTTATCAAATTTCAAAATTTAGAATTAGAGAGGCTCAACTTAAAAGTTTTTAAGTTCATCTCATTTATGAAAAGAGAGCACAATACAAAAACTAAGGCCTTGTAATTGAAACCTTTTTATCACTTTTTTTTTTTTTTTTTTTTTTTTTTTTTTAAGATATTTCTCTTTTTATGAGCTTTAATAATATTCTTTATCATTAGTTACCTTCAAACTGAATTTCAATCTTATACATCAAAAAGAAAACTAATTCTCTGCAATTATATAAATCGGGGGAATACAGATCAAAGAATAAAAGTAAATCTGTGTGATTGTAACATTTGGTAAATGTACACCAAAGAAGAAAACTGAATTTTTGTGATTATAACATCAGAGAAAAAATGCTGGAACAGACAGGGCGAGTGAAAAAGTGAATGAGAAAGAGCTAGATAGGAAGCTTTTACGTGAAAAGTGCGCCGACAGGAAGTGCGTCAGTTTAATCAGGAAAATACCATATTTTCTGTGTTATGAATATCTTCTTAGCCCATGCCTTTCAGTCAAATATGAAGTTAGTCTTCCTGTTTCGCACATTTTATTTTGCTTTTTTATTCTTTGTTTCTCACCATATTCAAAAAAACTTCTTCCTTATCTCAAGACAGGTTAAGTGAATGAATTGTAAGAGTAAATAAATGTAATGCTTATGAGATATGAAATATATACTGCCATGCTATCAATAATTCAGAGAGCAGTAAATTCATATTTTTCCATATTTTATTGGGTTCTGCCTGAGAGGAGACAAAGAGGATGTCTAGTAAAAGGATGGTAACTGGAGGATTTGCAAGAAATGAGTGAGTGTCAATACCCTGATAGGGAACTGTGGCGGCCAGGTGTCCTAGAGGGCTAGAGAGCGCTGTGAGACCAGCTTTAATGTATATATCGAGAAGTTTTCAAGGTAGAATAATGTTTCCCACCTCATAAAGAGCTAGTTATTGGCTTTATTATTTTTATTGAATTCAACTTATCTACTTAGGCAGAAGAAAGTGCGAAACGAAAGGAGGTAGTTTACAAGTATAAAGCTTGAAGTTATAATGTATATACTACAACGTATATGTATAAAGATAAAGCTATATCTTTTGAATGAAGTGAATGTCCAGTTTCATTTTCTCCTCGTCACTGAGTTAAAAAAGGAGCGCAGCATTCTGGTGTTCTAGTTTTTCAGTTTCCACCATATGTTCTGCAATTATGAGCTTCTTTTTGTAATCATATATCTCTTCCTCAAGTGCCTAAAGAAAACAGGAAAGTATAAAATATTTAGAGTAAATGATAACTGTTTTGACATGTTTTAGTAGCAACGACTATCAAGAAAACTTTGAAAAAACTCGTAAATTTTAAGAAGACGACTCTTATTAGGAACTTTCAAAATGTTAGTTTCAAGTAACTATTTTAGGGTTTCTTTTTTTAAATTACATTTTAAGTAAGGAGGTGTTTGACAACTCTAAAAATATCAACTGTACCTAGTTTTTCAACAACGAAAATGTTTGGGAAAAATGTTAGACATTTTATTTAAAAAATAGTCTTTTTTTTTTTTTTTTTTTTTTTTTAAATAAAAATTTAAGGTCATTTTTTAAGAAGAAGAAAACATGATACAAATATTATTGTTCTCCAATGAGTACAAAAAAGTAAGTATGGTAATTTCAATCAAGTAGATTCTGACGCCATTGTCATCCAAAACTCTGGTTTTGTCCACCTCTATTGATGGTATTATTGATGCCTACAAGTATATTACTTTAGTACCTACCCACCCCATGAAAACAAAAAGATCAGTCATAATTAACCTTGTAATTTTTTATGTTCGTATGAAGGGGGATTTATCAGGTCTGCTCCTTAAAAGACCATGCAAAATTTCTTTGCATCCAATCCAAAATATTTTCCAAAATTTATCGGAGAGTATCCGTCGGATGTGTGTGAAATCCTAGAACTTGAACCAAAATTTTGAAAATCTGTGGATCCTACAATAAGCTTGATTTAAGCAGGGCTGGACTTATTTTCTTGCCTGTTTACAAACTGCTATCAGCAGCTTGTGGCAACCCCCAGATCCAAACTGACGCAGGAATTTCTAGGAAGGTGAAAGAGGAGGTTAATAAGAGAGCAGATTTAAATGATGAGCTGACAATTGAGTTGGAATTTACCTTTACATCCTTTTCATGCTCAACTATTTTTTCATGAAGCTGATTTATTTCGCATTTTTTCAAATTTATTTGAGCCTGCAAGTATTCATTTCTCACTTTAAGTTTTTTGCATTCCTCCTGTCCTGAAATAAAAAAGAGAATATAGTTAGGAGGCGCACGAAACGCATTTTATCTTCTTAGGTACCTATTCACAAAGGATATTCTTGAGATTTTCATGTGCATGGGTGGGTCGGGGAATCGGGGAATTACCTATTTGTAGGTTGTNGGGGGGGGGGGGGGGGGGGCTACAAGGGCCTTATCTCTACGATGGTTTCAAGGACGCTCTGCAGTAAATTTCGGAAATTTATTTGGTCCTGCAATTATTCATTTCTTAAGCTTAGTTTTTTTGCATACCTACCCCCTGTCCAGAAAAAAAAAACTGGTCCTTAAACCATCTTCGTCTTGGTCTGAGATTTTTATCTCAGAGGGAAACAATTTGGTGCTGCTGCAGCAGATATTTTTCAATAGGTAGGGAAACAAGACATTCAAGGGGTAGTCTCCAAAATGCCGACCCCCCCCCTCCCTCCCGGTTTTGGCCGAGATTAACCTTGCTCATATGTTGTGTTAGATGTCCCCGATGCCTGGAAAAAATTTCAGCCCCTCTCAACTCTTGAATGCAACTTGTCGTACCTAATGAAAAGTTGGATAGTGTGATAATACTTGAATGGAAACTTGAATGTGATGCCACATTTGGACATATTTCTACCAAACAGACCTATGTGCAGGTGAGAAATATGGGGTGTGCTCGTCGAAGCTGCATAAGAAGTAATGTAAAGTGGGCGTGATTCCTTTTGAAGAATTGGGAAAGCGGGATATTACATTCTATCAAAGAGACCTATGTGCCATCTGAATGCGGAATTCATGAGCCGCGGGCATGGCACGAGAGCGTTGTGAACAGGGCTCATGAGTTAGGTAATGCCCCCCGACGAAGATCGCGCCTCCGCCCTCGGGCTCGATCATTGCCGCTGACGTCACTGGCGCTTTATTATTCTCATTCACTCTTACGTAAAGAGAACTATCGAGCACACCCCATATTTCTCACCTTCACATAGTTCTGTTTGATAGAAATACGTCCATTTGACTTTTCGTTCAACTTATAATGCAGTTGGCGCCGCCATTTGGATGGAAAGTTGAACGAAGAGTAATTGAATCATTTTTTTTTGCGTTTATTTATTTTTCATTTTCAGCAATGAATACTCTCAAATTGTTGCATGGAATGGGTCCAGAAAATTTTTGAAATTTTAACTGTAAGTTTTCGTGGAAAGTCACTTTCTACGTAAACGGTCACAATCAGACTGTGCTTTGCAATGAGGAACTAATCGATGGCTTAAGTGTAAAACCACGTATCTTAATTGTAGTGTTTTAAAATTTCCGCTCCTATTTTCTCTTTCTGAGGAGAAACAAGCCAACTTTGCAGCTTGAAATTTTTTCAGAATATTCTGCTATTGGACGTATTTAGGTATGCATGCAAGAAGAAACTACTTGCGTGCAAGTGCAAAGATGGGGTGTGCTCGTGATGAGCTGCATAAGAAACAAGGTAAAAGTGGATATATTTCCTTTAGAGAAAATGGGAAAGCGGAATTCCCAATTAAATCAATAGGAACCGAGCAGAGCATTGTGGACAGGGCTCTGGGCTCATAAGTCCCGCCACCGGTCTCCCCGTCCCCGTGCCCGTTCCTCCGTCTCGGTCGTTGCCGCTGACGTCACTGGCGCTTATAAATTCCCATTCATTCTTATGACAGAACACTAACGAGCACACCACACCTTTCCGCTTCCACATAGTTCCATTTCGCATAAATACGTCCTATTAAGAAGAACTTACCTTTGCTTATGTGACGGGATAGTCGCTTCGTGGTTCGTTCATATTCACGTTGTGCTTCTTTCAGCTTCTTCCCATCTTCTTTGAATTTCGCAAATTGATTAATAAAGTCACTTTTCTCCCATGCCATTCCCGCGATCTCTGTTCCGAGACTTTTCTTTCTACGGACGCATATCTGAATTGTAATATTATATTTTAAATATTCGCGGATGAAGAGTAAATTTTGCAGACAGGTAAACAGGTAACGTAGAGGAAATAGTTACTAATGCCAATAAGTCACTAAGTCGCTAGAGCCCTGTAAATGATAAATTATTAGCGTCAGCCGTCACGCCTTTACCCAACTTTAATAATAGCTCTGTTTTTAATTTTTTTAATCTGTACTGAACCGTTTATTAAAAAATACTAACTATGTTTTGTTTCTGAGTGGCACGTCAGTAAATTTTGAAAAGTAATTGTAGCAAACGTGAGAGCGGAAATTGAGGTTATGTTCTATTGTTGTGCACTTGTACTGTGCTGTGCGATGTCGTTGTGTATACAAGACGATTATTTCAGCAGAGAACTTCATTAAAAAATAAGTACCAGACTGTTTTTTATTAAATTTGTAGACTTTGTCCTCTTAAATTTTGTAAATATCTTGAAGACCTGAGAAGTTTCTTCTATCCACCATGATTTTGAGATTTACAGGTGACAATGTTCTCAATCACTGAAGTTTGTGGTATGAGTCAAGCGCGTTCCCTGCCTTTCCTCAGATTACATCAAGTTTCCGAAGAGAGTTCAAATGAAATGCCTGTCCCTACAAAATGTCATAATTTTCTGCATTATGTCAAAAGAACTATCATGCAATGTTGGGCTTTATCAAGTGCTGCAGCATTGACCATTCTTCTCATTTATTGGGTGTACGGAGGAGTGCTAGCATTTTTACTTCTATGCTTTACGGTCACAGGTAAGAATAGTTTCTCGATCATCTCTAAAACCTTTCAATGATTTTGGTAGTGTAAAGTTTTGTAAATTTTTAATGAACTCGGGGAACAAAAATACTTTGATTCTTCGTCAAATTTAAAAGTCGATGTGGAAATGCCTCACTAGTGGAACTACCTATACTTTTTTAATGGGCCATTTACAAAATTTTGCAAATGTTATGTAGCAATTTTTTAATGTTCAATTGTAGTTAATTGTTGTTCAACAGTTGTTAAGTGGATTTAAATTTTGTCGCCCCTCAGAGCTCCACTTTGGCAATGCAGAAAAATGTCAGAGAAAATTTATCACCTGAGTATCATGCTGCCATTATTTCTGAGAATTAGTATCATGATATTATTTATAATTTTATCAAAGGAAAGTATAGTTTCTTACCTTTCAAAATACTCTATCTGCCTGCCTCTAATATATCTTTAGATTTTTCCTTTATTAATATACAATACAATCAAGTATATGTCTCTTTACAGGCATTCTATATCATTCAGAAGATCAGCTAGTTTACCATCCTGATCAACCGTCTCATTCTCGTATTTTTATTCCCATCCCATCGATGATGCGACTTCCGTACGAGAGTATTTACGTCCGTAGCCCAGATGGAACAAGAATTCATCTCTACCTCATAAAACAACCTGATGCAGCTTATAAAACTGCACCCACAGTAGTATTTCTGCATGGAAATGCAGGAAATATGGGCCATAGGTTTGTAATAATTTAGTTTCATCCATTAGTTAAGACTTCAAGTATTAAATACGTGATTGATATCTTGCGCTGTACAACATCTCAATAGATTTAGAGTAATCAATAAATGACATTAGGCTAGAAATGCAGCCTTCACTCCTTCTACATCCTAGTCCTGCAGGTCTGGATTTGGACTCTCCTCACAAAATTAAATTTTGCAGTCCAAACGATCTTCCCCCTCAAAAGTAGAACATTTTAATTTTATATTTTGTTACCTGGCTGATTAAGAAGTTGAGAAAATTGCGAAACATTCCATACATTTTATATGTATTTCAGCCTTGTTTACCCATTTTCTTGTGTTTATTTTTCCCTAATGGCTAACTGAAGTTTGTTGACGGCTGTAAAGATTTAAATTAGTTACTTAAGTCCATACTTAGTCAGAGGCTAATTTGCTGCTTGGACTTTCAGTGTGCATATTATAAATGCAGAGGGATAGCGAAAAGAAAGAACAGAGACTGTTGAGTCAATTTGAACACAGGTACTTGTTTGCGTATTGATGGGAAAACAATGAAACAAATGGTAAAAGGTCTAAAGTGAAATTCAGTTTTGAAGTTTAAAAAAACAGGGAAAACCATAGGGTCAGAACTCTTCAGCGTCCCATGATGTTGTGCTGGACTCCTGCTTCTACGATGCACCTGTCATGCCAGCTCAGACCCCCTTTATCTCATCTGAGCGACGAAGCCCCTTATGGATGGCCAAGGTCTTTTATATACAAAAAAGTAATATATTTTTTTTATGACAAAAGAGCATGGGCCAATGTAAATGTTGCTAAACTCCCTAGCAACCAACGAGAGCATCAAAGGACCCCGCACGGTTCTTATGGAAAATTGCCCTCGGTCAAATGCGTTGAAACTTCAGTATGTTGTGCAGCATGGCATCGTGAACAAAAGTTCCAATAGGCCAAACAAGATCCCATGTGCGGTTTTCGAGATATTCGCCGTTTTATGTGCGTAAACGGAGGTTTCGCGCGCTCCCGCCGGAGCCATACCATTGTGCGGAGCCGCTCGTGCCCTTCCCTCCCAGTCACTCTCCGCTGCCCCGCCGCCCAAACCTTGGCTCCTCTATCGCTCCAACTACGACGCTCACGAGGCTGCGCCCATCATTACCGGACCGCGCCCGCACGCCGTCTTCTTACGCGGCCTCTTCTTCGGCCATGTCGCCTCTTTTTCTCATCGATCCTTTCTCTAAGTCTTCAAAAACATTTAAGAAGTCCATTTTTACTAAACGTGATAATGCTAATATCACAAATAATACAAAAAGAGAGGAAAAACAAATGATGATCCATGCGAAAGTACGTAGGAGAGTTGGAATGTCTAAGAGACGTTAAATAAAACAAACTATTTTTATTCTCTTTCCTTTTAGGCGTAAATGGTCACATCTTAAGTCGCTCCAACTTGCAGCACCACCTTATCAGCCATCTTATTATCTGCTGATCGTATCCTCTAATCAGATCGTACATCCAAGACAAACTCCATAGAGATGATGAAAAAGAGTTGCAGGTCGACCGTAACATTCATGCGCGTACGCGGCTTTTTGTGAGTACGAGTTTTCTCCAGGTTCCATAGCAGATAATAAGATGGCTGATAAGGTGGTGCTGCAAGTTGGAGCGACTTAAGATGTGACCATTTACGCCTAAAAGGAAAGAGAATAAAAATAGTTTGTTTTATTTAACGTCTCTTAGACATTCCAACTCTCCTACGTACTTTCGCAAGGATCATCATTTGTTTTTCCTCTCTTTTTTGTATTATTTGTGATATTAGCATTATCACGTTTAGTAAAAATGGACTTCTTAAATGTTTTTGAAGACTTAGAGAAAGGATCGATGAGAAAAAGAGGCGACATGGCCGAAGAAGAGGCCGCGTAAGAAGACGGCGTGCGGGCGCGGTCCGGTAATGATGGGCGCAGCCTCGTGAGCGTCGTAGTTGGAGCGATAGAGGAGCCAAGGTTTGGGCGGCGGGGCAGCGGAGAGTGACTGGGAGGGAAGGGCACGAGCGGCTCCGCACAATGGTATGGCTCCGGCGGGAGCGCGCGAAACCTCCGTTTACGCACATAAAACGGCGAATATCTCGAAAACCGCACATGGGATCTTGCTTGGCCTATTGGAACTTTTGTTCACGATGACATGCTGCACAACATACTGAAATTTCAACACATTTGACCGAGGGCAATTTTCCATAAGAACCGTGCGGGGTCCTTTAGAATTGAAACTTCTAGATGGTAACCATTCGGACCCAATCTAGGGCCTGGCTCTACCGCTGAATGACTCCTGTCACAATCATGATGATTGGAACAATAGAGGACCTCGACACTTTTGTCACGGCCTTGCCCCACATGAATATCCTGTACTCGCATGCCTTAAAACCCAGTCAATTTTTTGCAATTTTTCAAATAGGTAATGTAAGTGTTGTGCTTCTGATCAAAGATTCAGCCCCTGCTAAAAGTTTTGATGAAACTAGGTCCAAACGCCTATAAGAGCAGATATCTCAGCATGACATCTGCATGCTGTTTACATCCTAATTCACCATCTTACACCATTAATTCAATCGAATGTATGAATGTGAAGTATCAGCTCCTATTTGAACCAAGTCTCATCACAATGATGACAGGATAAAGCACTCAACATTCTCCTGCAAAAAAATCAAAATCCCCGAATTATTTGTAGTAATCTATAGATAGACTTGAAGGTCATTTTTTACACCAAGTGTTATGAAAGAAGAAAACTTTGAATCTCATGTTTTCTGTCTCGACTTAATGCAACTTTCTCTCTGCTGACTTTAGTCTTGTTCATAAAATGAGTGTACTGTTTTTATATAGTGTACTATTTATTAGTATTTTATTAAGAACCAACTATTTTTTTGTGTGTTTTGTAGGTTACAAAATGCTTCTGGTCTCTATCATAGCCTTAATTGTAACTTGTTGATGGTTGAATACCGAGGATACGGACTATCTGAAGGCTGTCCATCAGAAGAAGGAATTTGCATGGATGCCAGAACAGCCATAGATTTTATACTATCAAGGCCTGATTTGAATCATCAGCAGATTGTGGTTTTTGGCCGATCACTCGGTTTGTATTCAATAAGTTTATATTTCTTGTTCTGCTGTCTCTTCATTACTTTCTGTTTTTTTTAAATCTATATATATATATATATATATATATATATATTTCTGGTTTTCAATTAGAATTTTTCTATCTTAAAATTGACGCAGTATACATAATTTTTTAGTCTTCAGATTGTAAGCAAACTGTCATTTGTGACACTTAATGTACGTACAAGGAGCTTTCAAATAAGTATCCATATTCTCTGAAATCTATAAAAGTGGGCCGAATAAAAAAAAAGGAAAAAAAAACCAATTTTGGTTTAAACTCTTCCATAGGAATTACTGTATTCAGAAAACTGAACATCCAAGTAATTCAACATAAAGCGGCAGCGGCATGCTGGCCACAAATATGCATAGAGGCATTAATATTCCTACCAGCGCTGCATCCATTGCAGCTAGGTGGTCTGCTCTCACCTTTTTGGTGGAAAAAAAGAAGGAATATATTTAATTATCATTAGTAAGTATAGAGATGGAAGAGTATATTTAATAATATTTAAGTGCTGTATGTACTAATAAATCAGCACATAAATTTATTTAAATAAATAAACCGAAGTCATATATTTAATAAACATTAGTAAGTAGAGAGAACGAGGAAAGAAAACACTAAGATTGGCCCGAACTGCATGTAACAAGGTGGAGAAATGGTGCAGGGTCCACACCATTTTGCGGGGAAAACAAAGCCAAGAAGTTCCAAAAATTTTTCAATCAGAGTCAAATAAATTTTTGCCTCTAATGAGTACCAGTTCAGGCCTGAGGGGGAGAATGTTCTGCTAAGGCAGCTTGCGTTGGAATATTAAGTTGAGGTCCCGCGTTAATTTTCCAACGCTAGCTGCCTGAGCTGAACACTCCCCCTCAGTCTTGCACTGGTACTCATCAGAGCAAAACATTTTTTTGACTCCAATTGAAACATTTTTGGAACTTCTTGGTTTTGTTTTCCCTGCAAAATGGTGTGGGCCTAGCACCATTCCTCCACCTTGTTAAGTAGAGAGTTAGAAGAATATTTTGAATAATATTTAAGTGCTATACCAATAAATTAGCAGATTTGGATTTAAGAAGGTGGATTGATTTGGATTTTACCTGCCTACGGGACAGCAAAATTACCTTTTAAAAAATATTATTTTAAACGTAAATAAGAGGCTACCACAGAAAATTTATTCCTAATGATGCTTTGGCATCATTGGATTTGATAAACAGTGGGTTCAGTGACACTGTTCTTCACGTTTTCATTATGGAATTACAGGTTCAAATTGTTTAGGATTAGGAATTTTGCTTGGTGATTTGGTTTTGAGTGCAAAAAGGAAAAACCACAGTAAAATCCATCATTGGAAACTTGCTTCTGTTCACGGTGCAACATTTATTACTGTCTGTAATGTGCAGTGGAATTGATTTATTAAAATAAAAGTATTGCAAAAATTATTCTACCATCAGCCGAATGACCTCTAAGTATAAGACATTTTCGAGAGTGATACTGGAGATACGTCAGTATTAAATACCCTCTGTACGTCATTTAGTGTTTTGTAGTACATCCAATCTTTGCATTTACGGACCAGTTGCATTGACCATTGCTCAGGAGTATTTTGTCATCATTTCTTGAATTCAGGAAGCTAAAATGTGATGTTTGTTTAATTTTAGGAGGAGCTGTTGCTATAGATTTAGCGGCTCGACCTGAATATAGTTCCCGTATCTGGTGTGTTGTACTAGAAAATACGTTTACCAGTATTCCAGACATGGCTGCTGTCATTTTGCGGTGGGATGTCCTGAAAGAACTACCGTTTTTCATCTATAAAAATAAGGTAGTTGTTTCTTTAGTGCACTTTTGAAGAATATGTTGTTAGTGCTTTAAATCATTCCTTGTCTGATAGCCTATTCTTGAACAACAATACATAATGAACTATTCTCTGATGTTACAGACTAGAGTACTTTATCATATTTTTTAGCTTTTTTTCTACCGTTCCATCTCAACCCTTCTTATTTTTTTGTTTAAACACTGAATTGCGACAAAGGAATGATCATTTTGTGATTTAGAAATCTCATATTGTTCCTTAGCAACTGTGCTCTCAGTCTATTTAAAAGACTGACTCTAAAGAATACTGTCTTATTTTGCATACAAGAATTTGATTTTGATAATCCCTCCACCCTTGTAGGAGATTGCTCATCAGAGATTTTCAGAAGTTGAAATCTTTGATAAGAAATTTCATTTTAATGTATGGACTGAGAATTGGAGTTTACAGCTCTTCATTTTTGTTCAATGAGTTTTTAAACATCAATAGAACTTGTTATGAAGTTTGATCATTTTGTTTCCAGTTCTTGTCATGGCGGAAAGTATCCAGCATCAGCATTCCAGTTCTATTCATAATTGGACTACGAGATGCTTTTGTTCCACCAGCTATGATGAACAAATTATACCAGCGTTGTGGGAGCCCTCACAAACAAGTCGTACATTTCAGCACAGGCACGCACAATGATACTTGGATGAGTCCTGGATACTACGCTGCAATTTCAAATTTCTTGAGATCTGCTCTTGATTACTTCCCCACTAAGATAGAATCAATGTCAAATATCAAGTCAGTTTGATACATGCATTTATATTTTTGTTTATAATTTTCATAATATGCTCTTAATTCTTGGACTCCTGTCACTCAAGACTTCAGATACTGATGCCTACTGAAAGAATCATGAAGAATGCAGTAATTAACCCATCGACTTAAAGAAATGGCTATTAGCCATCTGTGCTGTGCTGAGCTGGATCTGAATTGACCAGGCTCTGATGGCTCCGATAGAGCCATCAGTCGACTTGGCATCCAAATTTACAATGTTTCAATAATTCCATTTTAGACCGCATTCTCAGCGATGTCCATACCAGTAGTAGTATCACCAACTTAAAACTTATTTTAAGAATTAATCTATTAATCCGTCACAATTTTTGTATCATTGTACAGTTGGACATAATGTAACCTGAAAAGACCAAACACTTCTAATACGAAGAAATTCGGCGCCGGTTAAATTTCGAGATTTTTTTTGTTTGATGTTACTTTACAATCTCCTGAGTAAGATAAGCTTTTAAAATCGAAATTTCTGTGCTGATCTTGAGATAATTTGGCCTCAGAAGTGCTCTTTTGGCAGTTTAATTGGTGCTATCATACGGAGAAGTGGCACTGTTCCTGGGTCAAAGAGGGGGGGTCCTATTGTTTTCAACTCAGGTAATGCGCTGAATGCTGCGCATTTTGTCATCCACTTTATCTCCTCGGCCAGGAGAAGACCAGGGAAAAGGAGCCTCCTCTTTGATCACCTTCATTTTCCCTCTTGATTAAATGTGTAAAACTACCAAAAAGTGCACTTATTAGACCTGATTTTTCTTGAGATTGGCACACAGAAAGTCCAATTCCATCCAAGTCCAAGTCCACAAAAAGTTATCTTACTTAAGAGGTTGTCAGGAACATCTTATCATATCATCTCAACTGCTCCTGATTTCTTGGTATTGTGTGTATAGTTCTTTTCCTGACTATTGCTCATCATGCGATTCTCATGATTTTGACAGCAACAAATCAACGGTAAGAAAAGATTGAAACTATTTTTTCTCTTTATTTCTTCAAAAATATCAATGTAAATGCTCAATATTTCAATTTTTAACGCGGAAAATGAGTTCAGGATTATTTGTTAAAGTTCAAAGACCCTGATATTTGCATATTTTTGAATTTTTACTGTTAGGTGCTACAGAGTCAAATTAAATCATTAGTCAGTTGGTTAATTCATACATTCTTATCATCAGAATCAGGTAGTTTGGGAATCTAAATTCAAAAGATTTTTCTTTTTCATGGCAATATTTTACTTTAAAACTATTTGAGATTTCCAACCACAGTGAATACTCAAGCTTGGAGTGAATGAGCCAAACATGAGCCTGTGAAATCAGAATGAAAGTCCTAAAGTACTCTATTTCACGCCAAGACAGTAATTTTTCAATGGCTAAAAAAATTCAGTCTCGGCACTTGAAGTTTCCAAGAAGTGATAAAAGGTAACCACTCTTCTTCTCAAAATACAAAGGCTTATGGCCTCCCTTAGTTGCACAATAGAGAGTGTCACGTGAGTGACCAGGACTGCAATTTGAGGTTGTGCCAGGCTGGCTATTTACCTGATCCTTTCATTAAAGTAGTTGCAAGCTTTTTGTGTTAGGAAAATAACTTTTCATGATTCCTGTTAAGCTTAACAATGCAACTTTATCATTCAGGAAAATTTGGTTGCATCTAAGGGCGTGTGTGGCTTTTTTTTTCTTTTTTTTTCTCTTTTGAAGTTTTTTATTTAATTTTTTTGAATTTTTAACCTTTTGTAATCCAGATAGTCTTATTCTATGGACTTGATTGAATACAGTGTCATGTAATAGAAGAGTCCTGTGTGTTCTTATCATGCCACTTTGTCACCCTCCACACAAAAGAACGAATCTTCATTGCGTTGTTTCCGTATTTCTTACTAACATTCTATTTTTTTAAGGAGCATGACTTTGCCTAAAATTGCCTGTGATTATACCTTGCTCTAGTGATAAAGACAATAAATTCTTCAGACAAATTCGTGTGAAATTTCTTTTTTGAAAAAATAAAATGTTGGTTGAAATTATAAAACATCGCAAATGAGATGCGTTCATTTACTTCAGAGACGTTGCATGCCATACGGTTTTGTGGATAACCAAAAGCTCTCTTGCACTGCAGTCACATCATGTAAGATTCATCAACTTCTCAGTTTCGATGTCATAATAAGAGCAACTCACTGTCAGTCTCCGAAATCATGAGGGAACCTTGTGAAGGGCCAAAGTTTATCCCAGCATAGAAACGCACAAAGATTTTCATCTTAATTTCAAGTTTTTTGTACCCTGTAAGTTGATACTAACCCCTGTACTTTCTTGTTTTTTGTGAATTTCAATTCTTTCTAATGGTGAATTTAATTTTCTCAGTTCTCATAGAGTTACCGCACTGACTTCTTATATTTCTTTCAAGCCAATCTCTAACTATTAACGGTTTAATTTTGTCAGAGCCATTCAATAGTATTCGATAGAAAATGAAATTTAATTTTCCCTCTCCAAAAGGAGTCAGAGCTATAAGTTTTAAGAATCACACACCGGGGGATCTTGAATGAAAAGTTCCTTGACAAATTTTTCATTTCTCAATACATGGAGAGTGCTAATATTTTGAAATAATTTTGGGTCACCAAAATATGTTTTTGTTTTCTCTTTTTTTGGGTCAGTCGGTTTATCCTTTAAGACTTTCTCTCATTCCTTATTAGGGTTTGCATGAAGGTTGTGTTAAATTCTGAAAGGGAGGGGGGTGGGCTCTACCAGAAACACAGCAAGTGCTGTCTGTTTTAGCTCTAGATGAGCCTTTTTCCTCATTGTCTTGATCAAAATGGAGTGCCTTAAAGTCCTTTTTAGAAACTGAATTAATCAATCACATTAATATTTTTCAAGGCTTTTGTAAATACATTAACAGGCATTTGTAGATGTTACATTCCCTTAGGGCTCATCGATAACCTGCTAAAAAGTTTGAACCTCAGATGGCCTCTTGTGTGAAGTAGGTTTACAATCCTTCCCAGGAGCAACATTATAATGCCAGCTGGGTGCGTTTAATGGTGGCTCATGTTCTGTCTATTATTTCTCTCTCTTATTAATTGTTATGCATGTAATTGCCTTTCATATAAAATAGCAATACAAGGTGAAGACCTGTAGATTTTAGGTCTTCCTCCATGTTATCAGGCGGATCATTTTTGCAACAGTCTGTAGTTATCAAAATGCTTATGGAATTTGAACAAGATTTCCGGAAGATTACAGTTCCTAAGAAGCAAACCCCAGAAAATAAGACTCCAACTTTGTCAGGAACATGATTGTCATAAAGCACACCACACCACTGCTCTGGTCAGCCAACATGAGTTGGACAAACATTCGTAAAATACCATTGAATTCAAGAAATATGTTATGACGGCACAACATTTATTAGGATATTCCCTTGAATTCAGTGGTATTTTACGAATGGCTGTCCAACTTAGATTGAAGCTGACCAGAGCGGTGTTGTGGTGTGCGTTGCGATGAATGTGCTATTTCAACACATGAAAAAGGATTGATTCCAAGGGTGTTTGCAACGACACCTTAATAATTGATCCTTTTCTGTAGCTTCAATGGGGAAATTATTGTATGTCAATTCTTCGCGCCTCTCTACTAAACCAGAAAAAGAGAGAAGTCTCTTGATTTTTCAAATCCATTTTGAATTTGATTAAGCTTAGTAGATATGATATTGGATGGTCAAAACCAATTTTTCTCTCTTTATCAGACCGTCGGAGTAAATCATGGTATCAAAAAAGTTTCCCAAACTTTGAATTTTCGCTTAAGTTGGTCAAGAGACGAGATGTACAGAGGTGAGGATATATGATGGTCCAGAATTTGATCGGAGCTATTAAGTTTTTTTTTTCCATTTTAAATAATTTGTATTCAATTAAGTTGAGCTACTTGGTAGAAAAATGGATTGCATTCTAATGACAGCTCACCCAGCACTTTAAAAACTTGTAGAATTCTAGTTGCTTTTCAACATAGACGTTATTTTAAACATAACGACTTTCCAAAAAATATCTACCACAAAATAAACAGTTTTTTGTGTCTCCTGAACAATTTGGTTTTCTGGACTTGTGCACTTTTTGTATTTTGTGATTCAACTGAAGGTGGAACAAAAAGATGAGAATCTGTACTGAGACAATCAAGTCTTTCTCTCTATATCATAGTTGTGATTGAGGGAATCCTACAAAGTATAATTGTGTTGAAAGTTGCAATCCCAATATTGTATTTATAATATTTTTTAAATGCTTGGTTTGTTTTGTGAAGTTTTCTTTTGAATTGCTTGATTCTAGTTTTTATCTTTTTTTTCTGGCATTAATTTTGTAACAAACGCATACTTCTATGATTTTTTATTTTGCAAAATGAATTGTTTCATGCATTTCTATTCATTTTCAAAGAAGTGTACTTCTAATGTTATGATGAAATTTTGCTATAATATTGTGATGTTGTTTTATTTTATAATTTTCTTTTTCTAATAAAAGTGGAGTAACTAAAGAAATATGCATTCTTTTCAGTTTCACTCAATGATCTCAATACAATGTATTTGAAATTTTGACCATTTTATATTGTGTAAAATTCTAGCCCGCGCAAATGCAAGTTACGGCAGTTGAACGGTGTTACCTCTGAGTAGTAGAAGATTATTTTGGTAAAAGAGCATTTGACAAAAATCGTAATTTCCTGAATAGTGGAGTTGCATCCCTTTCATGAGGCTGTTCTGTACATAAAACTTTCAAGCATTAATGTGCAAAATTGCAGTTATCAACCTCAAGTTTATGTCAACCAGTTGACTTTTGGTTGCTACACGGTCAAGCTTCCACTGAAGCATTTTATTGGTCCTCTTACTGGAGACTGAATTTTACAGGTACCCTACGATGAAAACTGAATTTAGGATCCTCTTTCCGTAGATGAAATAAAAATTCATTTATTTAAGATAATATATCTTTCGTTTATTTCCCTACATTTCACAATCAGAGTTTAATGTAACAATATGCGAGATGATTTACAAAATATATTACACGGCAAAGAAAATATCAACATACATTTAAATTATTACAAAAACTATAACAAAAAAAAATAGAATAATTTGAATATGTTTACCATCAAGGACAAACACATACCCTTCATTTGTTACTTTAAACATTCTAAACTGGTAAATACCATTATTAACTCTGGACTGACTTCTTTTTTTTTTTTACATTTTGACCATGATTTCAAAGAAATGGAAGGAAAATTTACTACCTTAATTTTTTCTTCTGTGTGGGAAAACCTCCCAACTACCTTTTTGTGCTGAATAGGCTGGTTTTTAGGAAATAATTTAAGGATGAAGATTTGATGTCAAGACACTTAGGGGCATTAGTAAACAAATGGTACCACACTAGAGAGGTAAGGCACTGAAACAATACTAATTATTTATGGATATGAAATAATTTAGTATCTGACACATCTAATGACTTCAAAAGGGCTTACAATTGACGTAACTGAAATTGATAGAGATGATTGAGTCAGTCTCAGTTTAATTTGTCACATAATACTTGGCTCTTTAAAAGAGCAAAGAAAAACATTTAAGTAAAAAACCCATCAGAATTTAATTCCTATCTCTGATAAAAGAAAAAAAAAGAATAAATAGGCGGTTAGGAGGAAGTGTTGATTTTCCAGCTGTATACTACTTATCCTGATGAATTTTTTGTTAAATATCAATTAAATGAAAAAATAAAAAAAATTGAGAGACAAATGTAGTATGTCAAAAATTCATCTACTTAAACTGTTACAAATCAATCAAGCCAATAATTATACCTACTTACATATTATTGTTGATTAACAGTTGTTAACGAAAGATATTTAAATTAAGGGAAAAATTTATGAGGAAAAGACAAAATGAGGGATAACGATAAATCCATAACAATGGGCACGGTAGTATTGTTTTAATGTATTTACTTTATAGATGAGTATACCAGATGGATAGCAATACTTAGTGATAGCCAAGTAAGTAACAGATAAGAGAAGAAAAAGGAAAAGTTGATAGTTAAAGTTCTGATATTGAACAAAGGCAATTGTATTCTGGCTAGAGAATATACAGCTATTCATTGATAGAGGAAAAACATACAACAAATACTAAATACGTAAGAAAAGGTCAAAGCGGATAATTTTTAGAGGTATTAAATGTTCACAGATCTTCAGAAAACAACACATTCCTGTACACCAATTTCCTGGATAGTATATATCTTTAGATTTATCAAAAAGAAATAATAATGTACACATGTATGGAGAAAAAACGCATTTGAATACCAGCATGAAGTATTTTCAGCCTTCCGATAGTTTCAGCCAGTTAATTTTTACTATATTATTTTTGCAGTCAAGCTTTTAAATAAAAGCAAATCACAACCATTGAAAGATTAAAGAAGAAAAACAAAAATAAACGCAAGTCGTTATAAAGTACATTTCTTCAAGGCAAAAAGGAACAATATTGATTAGACAATTATTAACGTTATCCATAAAATAAGTTTTTTATTGTTTGCAAAACAAACAGATTCTTTTTCTTTAAAAGTAAATTTGTATTGCATCAAGATAACAACTGTACATTATTTACAGATCAATTTTGATTTAATAGTTGGTGGTATGAAAATATATTTTTAGATAAGTTTGACTTATTTTACAAGTTCCAAAGACTTCAAAAATACTCATGTTTCTTTCTTCTCACTGACGTGTCGCACGGTCAAAGTGACTTTCCCATTATCCAGTCGCTTCATCAGACTCCAGGCTTCGATTCTGGTCATGACCGTAACATCAGTCTCATTGACTTTCAGTAATTCATCTCCAATAGATAATTGGCCACATTTCTCAGCACAACCACCTGTCAAAGTAAAAAAGAAATAATTTATTAATTCAATTTAAAGCTGTAAGGTTTACACAACCCTATGGAGAGAAGCAAACAATGACTTACCGGAGAAAAAAAAAACAAGCTCAGATCATTAATCTATCATTGATTGAATTCGAATTTCGATATTGCTAAGGAGAATAACTGAGTATGTCTGAGTAATAATCCAGTAAAAATATAAGTTACAACGACATGACAAATTTTTGATCATATCAGTGATGGTGAAAACCCAGTTTGCCTTTCTATTCAGGTAATGCTCCTAAGATTCTCTAATCTTTCAAAGAGAGCATGTAGTTTATGCATTTTGGATTCTCCATAGTAAAATTAAAATTTGTGTTGGTACTTCAGTTATAGTAATAAAAATGCATAAGCATAATTGTACGTTTTAAAGTAACGTTCAGGGATTCTTGCATTAGATCAACTTCCTTTACACAAATGTACCTATCGAATTGACCTTCTCCCACTGATAATGAGTATCAAGTTTCTCCACACTTTCTTTTGATCTGTCAGTGCCTTTACTTATTTTTATCACTGCAAACGAAGTTCAGCGAAACTGAGTCAGTATGACCCCAATTTCAAATAGGTATGTATTTAAATTCAGTCGATGCAAGACTAGGTACTTCATTCAGGGCCAGATTTACCTACTTGCCGCCCATAGGCCACCTGTATTTTGCCGCCCCCTTTTCATTCGTTTTGAAACATCAATAAAAACTATCAAGTGAACATGCCTTACTCGTGTTGGAAACATTTTTTGGGAAAGCCCTGTCAACACTACTAGCAAAAATTCACCGAACTTTGCGCGAACGTTAAGTTTCGTAAACCTATCTCTGCGTGGATAAGGCCTTCCCTTCATAAGAAATGAACGAAAAAATTATGAGAGAACAAACATAAATGTGGTTTAATGATTTTAACTTCCGCCGCCGCGCCGCGCAGACCGCACCGTGTTTGGAGCAATGCGTGAAGTATTCCGACAGTTTTTTAGGCGCTATGAGTTTCACGCCGACGACCGTTGCTGAACGCACTGTTTTTGACGCAATGCGTGAAGTATTCACGCAGTCTTGTAGGCGCTATGCGTTTCGGAAATTAGAAATTTTGTTCGTACTTTTTTTTCTAAATCCGATTTTTTTTTATACCTACATTTAAAAAATTGCAAAATTTGCCGCCTCCTAGATTTGCCGCCATGGGCCGCGGCCCATGTGGCCACCCCCTTAATCCGGCCCTGACTTCATTTAGGTATATAAGGCTCTCTACACCTAGATTTGAGAAAATTCAGCTGTATACTGATAAAAGCTTACCGGAGAAAATCTTCTTGACCGTCAAAGGTTGGTCCCCGACTGGAGAATCTTTCCCACCTTCTAGACTAAAACCCAAACCAGCTCCATCTTTGATTAAAGTAACTGTCACTGGTGGATCATACTTCACAGCTTCTGAATCTATAAAATGTTAAAAAACAATCTCAGTAAATACGCTGTATTCAACAACCAATTAAAATTATCTCCATCATCCTCTAAAGCATAATTAAAGTTACTTATACTTTTTTTACTGCATTCGTATTTTGCAATTTTATGAACTAAAAATCATGCCAATAAAAGCGTGGAGCAATTAGTAAAATTGATGAGTGACTTCAAAAAGCTTACTTATGTTTATGGCTAAATTATAATTAATTAAGAACATAGGTACTGACATAGATAACAAACAAAGAAGAGGATATTAATCCTTCTGTAAACTAAACAAGCAATACTATGCTGAACTCACTTTAAAATTTTTTGAAAAACCAAATACATTTAGGTCAGGAACACACTACTGAAATCTGATTTAAATGATTCTTTTTGGCGTTCAGTTTTTTGCAAATTACAGAGGATATCATACAAATTCCATCCGGAGGTACGTGTTACCGCATCAACGACAATAATAATAATGCGACCAGTTCGCCTACAATTTTCGGGGTAGGCAACACGGGCTCCTACGTGATCGAATAGTGGTGTCACCGTAAATGTCACGTTCATTCGGGAGACACAAAAAACATCCTTTCATTGAACAGGCAAAGATGCTTCTAGCGCATTGGTAGTTCGCCTACAATTTAAGGTGTAGGCAACACGAGTTCCCTCGTGGTCGGATTGAAATAATTTGACCATGCAATGCAATTAATGGACCACTAGACAAGGTACGAATTTAAGCAATCTGATACATGTTTCTTAATCAGAATTTCACGTAGAACACGATTCACACAACGGGAATTACTGAAACCAACTCCTAACAATGATATTAACGTTTTTATTTCACATTGGCTACAAGGAATTCGAACTGCCCGCTCACAAGAAACTCAAAGCTCTACGCGAGTCAAATCGCGCACTACAACGGTTTCAGCAAGCCTCTCAATCGAGCAATGTTCATTTCCTACCACGTGTTGTTCAAACTATAAGCAACTTTCTACAGCTGAGCCAAAGCGTCAAGACTGAGGTTGCCAGATTTTTACATCGCAGAGACTGTCATGATAACGTTAAGCGCGCGATGTGAGTCACGTAGAGCATTGAGTTTTCATGAGCGGGTGGTTTGAATTTACGCATCAAGAATCATCAAATATCTTCGTAAGGAGTTGATTTCGGTAATTTTCTATGTGCGCATCGTGTTCTACGTGAAATTTTAGTTACCAAACATGTATCAGAATGCTGAAATTCGTACCTTGTCTAGTGGTCCATTGCGACCTGTTCTAGGATGGTTCTAGGATGGTAGGAGGTGTTTTCAATCTCCTGAAAAATCGTATTCTCGTGTTTTTGGTCTATCACCCGCGTTAGAGGTAAATCGCTCATTGGAGCTAGCTCACCTTCGATTTCGCCCCATGACAACAAGAGAACCCAGAGCGGAGCCGCGCGTGGTGTCAGTGCAACTCGCGCACTGGCGCCTACGAACATAACAGGGATACTTCACGCATTGCGCAATGCGTGAAGTATCCTTGTTGGGTTTGAAAGCGCCAATTCGCTAGTCGGGTTCGCTGGTTGCGGGTTGGGTTGCCCTCGCCAGCCGCGGCGCTTCAAGCGACTATTTTGCAACAGAGGTGTTGCACAGTATCATACGAAATTGAAGGCGCTCCAATGTATCAAAGATGACAGGCATCCTTTAAGAATGTTGTTTGAGCCGATTCAAGGAAAATTAGGGGTCTAACCTGGAATTTTGTGTTCTACTTGGCTGTCTTCGATTAATTTCCTGAATGCGCGAGATGGTTGTACTGTTCGAGCAACTGTTTCAGATTCCACCGGGGCATCCCCATTTTTATGCCTCCAGTGTGAAACGACTAAAACGACCTCAAAACGAGGAGCCTGAAAATAAAACGGAGAAGTTAGTAAGTACATGAAGTGACTTGAGCCCTTGCGATTTTGCAAGCCAGATGTGTAAAAATCGTTTCTGGTGCCTCTGAAAGAGTTAAAGTATGGTTTACGATGTCATGTCATGTCATGTCATGATCATGGTCTAGTCACCGACTTCAGATTTTTCATTCATTTAAAGTTTTTTTTTATTTTTTTTTTTAAAAAAAAATATGCGTGGCCTGCATCAGGGGTAGCAGAAAGCAGAATTAACAGAATTGTATCCTATGATGGAGAATTGACAGGTGTCTAAAATTTGTTGAATTTCGTGATCAAGAAGAAGCTACTGAGGTTAGAAAACATAATCGGAGATTTCGACGCATTTTTGGCATTCAGCCATCGATATGATTATTGAGCGTATGAAACTCCTTCAATCAGCAGGATAGGTGATAGATTATGCGAGTTGAATTCGAGTGCCTACCTTCAGTATTGATAAAGCTTCCCGATGGGTGGCATCCTTCATGCTGCGACCGTTAATAGACAGGATTCGATCACCTTTCTGGATCCTCCCGTCTCTATCAGCCGGACTTCCAGCGAGAACTTTGTGAACCTGGAAACAAATTTTATTAGATGTTTTTTGTGGAACATAAAAAAAGGTAGGTACCACTTAGGGACTGTCTATATGAATACAGCTCCTTCACATTGACAAAGTGGTTTCAAGGAATTCCCTTGAAATTGTGAAAATCAGTACTTTCGCTCTAACTTTTACACAATTTCAACAACCTTGTCATTTCAAAATCAGTGCGCTGAGCGTCCACTTTTTAGAATAAAACCGACTTCTTAATTCGTGTAACCGAGCTTGTTTCATTAGCTCTTTTAATCGCATTAGTTCAGCTACGCGAGCTGAAAGTATTTGGGATGATATAGAACACCATGTTCTCCCTCATTTTGTGGATACGCAATTTTGTCTTCTTGGCGATCAAAATATTTTTATCAAGTGTTTCGCCCCATCCAACTATATACTCCTGCGTTAAAGTCTCCGAGCCAGCCGATAAGAGTCCCCCTTCTCCTTCATTTGGTGGTTGCACAATTTTACTTAATCGGCTTACCACGCGTTTCGCCCAATTCAACTTTTCAACGCCTGCGTTCAAATCTCCGGGTCAGCCAAAAAGAGTTTCCGTTCTCCTTCATTTTGTGGATACGCAATTTTACTTGCTAGGGTGTACCACGCGTTTCGCCTGATTCAACTTTTCTACTCTTGCGTTAAAGTCTCCGCGTTAGCGAAAAAGAGACCAAGCCTTAAATATGCGAGAGAGTTTTGTTGCTTCATAACAAATCGTGACCGAATCTATGAAACGAGACATCATTTTTCGGAAGAAAATTTCAGAAACTTAAAGCTTCAAGCTAAAAATGGTCTAGGGAGGCGCCTGCAAAACTGCAAGAATACTTCAAGCATCGCACCGTTCCCCCGCGATCTCTAGTCTCGTTCTCGCGCGAAGTTCCGAGATGTGTACGCTATATTTGGAAATGCGTTGGGCAGCGCGCATGCACAACGTCGGAAGGTTTAGGCAAAAATAGAACACCACTTGATCAATACGTAATACATTTTCCATTATTTATTGTTCAATGTAGTAACCTAGGCGAATTTTCTATTACCTACGGCATTCGTGAAAGACCAATCGGTCGTTGGTTCATGAACATTCTGCATCCTTGGACTATGATCGCAGGGTTGCTGATGGACTGGAAAGCAGGGAAAAGTGAGAGAAAGTCAGTGAATTCTTCCGAAAAGTCAGAGAATTCGTCTGAAAAGTCAGAGATTTTCTGGCACATCTACTAATCACTAAAATATACCACCGATCTTTTAACTGTTTACCTTTCCTGGTCTTTTTTAAGGCTTGTCAGCTTTTAATAAGCTAATGAATTGTTTCATCCATAATTTGATCTCTAAATACGGACATTTTCTTTAAAGTTTAGCGGAAGTCAAAGTTTAAAAAAAAAACAAACAGGATGGAAATTTTGTTCCACGGTCAGGGAAAGTCAGGGAATTAACAAGTTTTGGAGTCTGCATGATAAGTAAAAATAGGCTAGGAAAAGCCCGGGAGAATTGGGGAATTTGAAGATGTAGAAATTATGGCATACCTGAATTTATTTTTTATTTTTTATTTATTTATTTATTTATTTATTTTTTTTATTTTATTTTTTTGGTTAAAAATGTGATGATTTTCATACATTATGTACCCTTTCCTATGAATTTCTGAGAATATAGGTACGGGGGGAATGAGCGGAGAGTAGTGATCGCCCGTTTTGCCCTCAATCAGAAGGTGTTTTTAGAGGGCGAGTTGGATTCCGTTTTGCATGTATCCAAACCACTAAGGAACCACTATCTTTGGCTCTCTCATAAAAGCACATATCTGCATTGGGAAACCAATGGCATGTATGTTGTTTCTAAAATGGGCCAGAAATAGTGGTTCCTTATTGCAAAACGTAATCAATTTATGGTGAGAATTGAGAAAAGCTGGAACTCGGGCGGGAATCGAAGGACGTGCTTACCGTTATTTCTTTGGTTTCATAATCAGCGCCACCAGCCAGGGTTATGCCGATGCTGGCACCAGGGACATCACGATGAAGAACGATGACTGCTACTTCATGTCCGTTTCCCTCGCCCCCAGCTTCCTCGGCTGTTTGATTAGCATCATCTATTAGCTGCTGCAATTCCTAATTGATCAAAAAGAGCAAAAAACATCAGTTTTCGTCTCCACTTTTGTCTAATGTTTCCGAAATCATGGGAGTTTCCATGTTTAATTAGTTTCTTTTTAGTGGTAGGTAAGTAATAATCATTACTTTAATTAATTAAATTTAATTACATTTTAATGAAATGAATGAATATTGGCAAATTAAATGCCATCAAGTAGGGCAACTACCGAGTACAGCAAATCTCGTACCTCGAAAAAAAAAAAAAATACTTTCACTGCGAGTAAAGATGGACGAATTTGAATTTTTAACAATTGTAACACGTAAAGAGGAAATTTTTCCTCGGGGGAAAATATATTGTCGCATGTCCTGTCCTTCCTCTATGCCCAGCGAAAGCCCTCATCATAGACCTTTGATTAAAATTTATCAGAAAATCCGAGGGACTTGGTGGACAAGGCGCATAAGTGCAGTTTTTGAAAAAATTGAGATACTCATGAACTTAATTAAAACTAGCTTGAAAGTATATAATGTGAAACATTCACAACTAAAATCCGGCTTTAAAGCATCTAAAAGAGAGTTTAAACTTCCTTTATGACTTGAGGCTGCATGTACTTTCGAAAATATAAACACGTATTTCTTGAAATATCAAAAACTGTACTTATGCGCCTTGTCCTCCAAGCCCCTCAAATTATAAGAAGAAAACGATGAAAATTTTGGTCGATTTGTAAGCCAATAAAGTGGTAAATTAGGATTTTGAGACTAACCTGCTGAGAGATGAGGCTTGTCGATGAGGCCAGCGAAGAAATACTTCCAAACTGCTCTCGATGAAGATTGGAGACTGAACCATAGGGAGGAAGCAAGCTGTCATCACTAGCCGTGGAGTCCAAGGAGGAGACCCTGGCATGGTTGGCCACCTTGGACAAAGAGTTCTTGCTGTGCGGGGGCGTCACAGTCTGCTCCGGCTTCTCGAAAGCCTTCCTGATATCGTTCACGCTCACGGACCTATGAGTATTGATGGCCGTCCTTCCAGTGACCTTGGCACTTGTATCCTTCCGATCCTGACTCAAGAACTTGGCTTTGGTCTCGTCCACGTGCGACTCGCGGTACGGATCCGGGGACAGGACCGAGCGGCGGTGCTCCGGGCGGTACGGCTCCGGGGAGAGCAACCGCTCCATCTTGGGCTTCGAGTCCTTCGACAGGCTCAAGTCCGACATGTCGTCGTTGACCGTGATTGGTATGTTGAACTCCTTGCTGAGCTTTTTGATTAGCGGGGTGTCGTGGTCGTCGTAGCGGCTCGACGACTTGGGCCCGAAGAAGGGTTTCGGCTCGTTGCCGTTCAGGTCCACCTGGCTCTGGCCGTTCGTCGACTCGGAACTCAACGAGTTCTGACTTTGTTCGGATTCCGTTTCGGGCGTCGCCGGCTCCGTCACGTTCAAGTAAGCGATCTCGACGTTCCCGTCGGGGGTGTCCGTCGGCTGGTGGAAGACCGAATCGCTTCCGGCACGCGGTTCCTTCTCCTCGTGACCGTTCTTCCGGCAAACTGTCTTCTCCAAGTAGTTGAGGAACTCCAGGTCAGCGGCCAAGTCATCGCCGAGACTCGCCGTGCTCCCGGTCTTCTCCTCGAACTTGCGTTGGATGAGCGGCGACCCGATTTTCGAGTCCAGGCCGCAAGAATACTTGGCGGATGTGAGGACGTTCTTCCTGTTGATGGCCTCCACGCTTTGCGGCTTGAGGACTCGCTTGGAGGGCGCGCCGCCGGAGCTACTGCTCGCTTGTGAGCCGGAGGTGAGCGTCGAGGTCGTGGAGGAGGCGGCCGACGCGGTAGTGTCCGAGGATAGCGTTCGGTGTAGGAGCTTTTCCGTGTTGTTCATGTGTCGATCGTCTTCGTTCAAGTGGTGACAGTTGGGTTCGGGCATCGGGGACATGGGCGGCGAGATGCTGGACCGGCTGGAGCTCACCGCGCTGTCACTATCGCTGTCGCCTCCTCCGCCATCACGACCGACCTCTTCGTAGTCGAGCTTGAGCTTGTCTGTTGTCAGGCTCGTCGGGATCAAGTAGCCGTTCCTCTTCGTTTCGAACCTCTTGCCGAAGTCGAGCGGGCTCTTATCGGTTTTACTATCCGATAAGTTTCCGTTCGTGTAGGGGTAAGGTCGAGGGCTCAACGTCGCGGATAGCTTTCGTGACAGAGGGGAGCTTGAATTGATGTTGTTCGAATTAGTGTTTGTTTGGTTTCTGTCGATGGAGTTGGCAGGTTTGCTGCACACGGTCAAAGATTTTCGCTTGAACGCGGGCGAGTACTTCGGGATCTCGTTCGTCGGTAACTGCGACTTCCACGACCGGCCGAGGTTTTCCTTCGTCTGCGGCGAGTACAGATTGGCCAGATGCGAGTCTTTGTTGGAGTCGTTGCTATGCCGCCTGAAGTTGTTCTGTTGGTTGGTTAAACTATTAAATCTATTCTTCAGGGGGTAATTGACGTTTGATTTCAAGTTCCGATCGTCGTTGTCGCAGCTGATTTTGATTTCGGTTTTAATCTCCGGGAGATCCAGGATCGTTTGATTTAGGTTGGAGATCTCCGTGACCTTCTCCGGAATGACTAGTCCTCTCAGTTTGGACATGCTCCGTCGTCTTTGCTCGATGAGGTTGTTCAAGGACGCTTGCCGGTTGGCTGTGTCTGAATTGGAAAAGGGCTTCTCGTTCGGGTACCGATTCTGCAGGTTGCCCACATCGACAAGGCTCTGCGACCGGTTGTGAGGCCTCATTCCGCCAGAGAAACTAGTGGCTCTAGTCATGGTGGAAATTCCGGGGTCTAAGTCGTCTGTCTTCCGGGGCAAGGTACAAGACGACCCTATGACGTATGACGGAGACGAGGTCGGGGAAAGGGAGGATTCAGGGGAGCACGACGAGTAAGCAGAGGAAGAAGAGGAAAGGGCCAGATCCACAGTGTTCTGGGTTCGTATCCCGAAGTCTAGCTCCGGCGGGGAGGAGTGAAGTTTACTGTTGAGGATGAAGCTACGAGCGTTGGGGGTCGCCTCTAGATCGGGGCTTCTTCTCAAGGTGCTCCTGGAGAAGGCCTGACAGTGGCGGTCCGTGTGGTTCCCGATTTTGTTGACGTTCATGTACGACCTGGAGAGGGACTTGGCCGTCGAGCTGCCGAGGGCGCAATCCACCAGGTCGTTCTGCGAGCAAACGTTCTCCGAGCTCTTGAAGCGGTTGAGCTTCTTCAGGCTCCCTTCCGGTTCGGAGCCCTGGTCGCTCTGGCGGTTGGAGAACATGGCGATCTTGTCCCGGACGCTCTTCTCGCTCTTCTCGTCGTTGCGCCAGGAAGCGGAGCCCATCTTCTTGAAGCCATCGGAGGCGGTGAAGGTCCTCGCCGGCGGGGGCTCGTCGCCTTTGGCGGCGGTGCCGTTGAAGTAGGAGGGCTTGATGGAGGTCACTTCGGGCGAGCAGATGAGCTTCATGCTGGCGGCCGTGCAGTCGGCGTCACCGTCTGCCGACGGGACTTGCGGGAGGGCGAGGGGGCCAGTTTCTTGGTAGTTGGGTGGGAACGGGAACTCGTGGCCGTCGGGGGGGAGCCGCGAGAAGCTCGGCGGCGGAGGCAGACTATGAGCTGTGCTGGGGCTGGAGCTGATGGCAAGCAACGAATCCATAGTTTTGCTCACACCTGCGAACACACAAACAACATCGGTAATTAAATTTGGCCGCTTTCCGATCCGAGCCGGGATCATCAACATAGAAATTCAATTACAGCGGCAACGCTTATCGCGGCGCATTGCTTGAGTAATTAAAGAGGGAACATTCCCGCGGCCCGCTTCAAAAGACACGCGCGCACGCGCCGCCCCGCGCAACTCGGTCGAGTAAGTTTTTCTTTTGCTCCGCCACTTATTCGGGCGTAAGGACTTCAAAGACAGCTTAACAGCGTTGCTGTCCATAAATATCGGAAAAAAATCAAGATAAGCGTGGAGGGAAATGTTAATATAGATGGCTAAAATCACGAAATGCGTACCTCCCTTCTGCCGAGCTTAGGAAAAACGCCCTATGAACCTTCAGGCGTTGCCAAATTTCCTTTAATAAATCAAGAATTTCTTTCTACCAATTTTCCAGATAATTTTCCGAATAATTTATGGGGAATTCTTGCATTAATTGCTTTATCTAAAAGTGCGTAGAGTGCTGATTTCACAGTATTTTTTATAATTTTTTTCTGATATGGGAAATAGTATAAAAATAGATTTAAAATTGAGAAAATGCACCGCCTGGTGACGTCATCTGGCGGAATTTCCCATTTAAACACACGTATTTTATCAGATTAGATCATTTTGCCATATCTTCTCCAATAATTGTTCAATTCATGAACCAAGGGTATCCTCGTGCTCAGTTCACTCAGTAGTTTCCACATAAACACGAAATTCATCAAATTTCAGAAACCAGGGGCCGAATTTTGTCGGTCCTTCCACCGTACTTAAATTTACTTAGGAAGGGTCTCGACTGCACTGAAGTCCGGCTTAGCGCTTCTGATTGGCCGGTGGTGCGGTTTAAACTCATCGATGGATGTTGCACTCCGGGTGAAAAAGCCGACAAAATTCGGTCCCTGCAAATTCTCTATTAAATTTGGCGATAGCTGAAGTAGCTTGGTTCCCTTCTGTCTGACGCGGTCCAAATCTGCCATCATCCGAACATGGTTCCATGGTGATACCATGGTTCATGAATTTAAAAGTTGAAATGTTTGAATGCGAAGACTGGTCCTGGCTATGGCTGGCGACGGACTCGCGGAGGCGAGGAGCCAACACAGATATCCTCTTACGTCGTCGTCGGTCGTCGGTCGTCGGGATGGCATGGCACGGCGCGGCGCGTCGCGTCGCGTCCGCGGCATCGCATCGCGTTACGAGACAACGACCCGCCAATCCCGGCACTCGCTACTCGCCACACCGGACAGCCGGACAGGAACGCAGCTTCGGCCGGCAACCGCCACCACCGCCCCGTCGCCCCGTCGCACAGGGCGGCCTTTTAATGGAAAAGGCGGACAAAAATCGTAACCACGATGGGGAAACAGTTTTGGACGAAAAAAATGTTGAACCCCAAGTAACTTCCGCCGTAGAATCCGTTTGAAGCCAAAAATACTCTGAGGCTCAAATTTTGATCCAAAAAACAAGATGGCGGCCCAACAAACCTCAAAATGACCTCATCAACAACGCAAGACTCAAATTAGACACACGGTAAAAAAAACCTCTTGGACCAATGCCGCATTGCATTGACTTATGAGTGCAGTTTCTTGTCGCCGGATTTAAGAGTCTTGAACTCTTGTTTCAGGCGGATTTTGCATTCAAAAACAAGAGTCCAGACTCTTAAATTCGGCGACAAGAAACTGCACTCTTGAACCAGGAGATTTTTTTTTACCAGAGAGAAGAAGCTAAGGCTTTTGAGGTATCAATCCCTGCGTATAATTTCTGCCGTAGAATCTGGTTTTGAAATTCAAAATTAAGATTTACCTAACAAGAGACGGCAAGAAACTTTTCTTCACTCCGTGCTGGACTTCGGCGGGAAAGCTAGACATCCTCGCCAAATCCATGACTGTCATTAGGTTTGCGTAGAAACAATGAATTTACACAAAATGACCGCATTTTAACTTCAAATATCTCTGATAGTCGCAAACAGTCGCAAGATCTTTTTGGTACAATTAAAGTTGGATATCTGAGGTTTAAGACAATGTCAACCACCCAGAGCATTTTGCGTTTCAAGCGAGAAATCTTCATTTAAAGTTGCCGTCTTTTTCCTGTGTATTTCTAATGCACCAGTGATTCTTGACCATTTTCTGTCCTTTTTCCACCCAAATTTGAACTAATTTTGGGCGAAAAATTTGAAAATGAACCATCATTGTGAGTCAGAGATATCTTTCAGATGACAAACACCGAAAAAAAATTCAGATGTCGAGTTGTGCATTTTTTATTTTTGTCCACAAAGGGCCGCACTGTGCGTCGCGTCGCGGCGAGCCCATCATCAGAGCAGCAAATGACCGCGCCACGTTGCAACTTGCAAAGCCCCCGGAAGAAAAGCCTCGTCTTGCAAGGGCCCACCTTCCCCACGGCCTGCCCTTCTGCAGGTGGACCAACACTGCTTAAAGAAGAATTGTTCTTCCATGGCCTTTGTTTAGACAAACGTCTCATAGAACCGAATGGTTCAGTTCAGAGTACCTGCTATGAGCGAATTTTATTCAAAGTTCCGAACCTCTTTGGGAAGTTCTGTCCCGGTCTGTCTCATCGATCACCAACACCAGTGGACACCGTTGTTACCAGATTCGACCAGAGACAAGAGACCCTCCACTGGCCTCTTTGCGACAGGTGGAAGCTTTTACTTTTGGGGATTCAACAGTTCCTTATGAACAATTATAAGGGAGCAACAGTCATCACCCTACTTTCGGAGCTTCGGGTGGCGTCATGAACCAAAAAAGTTTCCAAAACTTCGGCTATTTTCGGCCTGTTTGCGAAAAAAAAACTGCCAACACTTTGTTGAACATCAACCATATAGGTAAGTCAACAGTAAAATGCTGAAGTCTCGAAAGTAAAAGCTTCCACCATTGCTAAGATACTAGTGGAAGGTCTCTTGTCTCTGGATTCGACCAATCGGCTCCGTTGGATTTCGATAGGTTTTTTTGAATAACTGACTCCCAAACATTTAAAATTTTGATAAAAAAATTTGATACTCAGTATTTTTAGCGCGAGCTACAAAATGGATTAGTGTCCCCTAGAATCTAAGCTTTAAAATTAATTCATGCCATAGAGGGTCAAAAGCAGATTAAGTTAAATGGAAGTTTTAGGCGAGGTCTTGACGCGGGATCGGCGTGGACGAGCGCTTATCCCGGTTG